TGCATGGATCTACATGACGACTGTAGAAGCCAGCTCTCTGCACGGATCTACACTATGACTGGAGAAGCCAGCTCTCTACATGGATCTATATGACAACTGTAGAAGCCAGCTCTCTGCATGTCTGGTTCCTTCTTGTCATTCAGGAGTTATCTTGGCCTTTCATATCCATTCTATTTAATGTTGCCTCCTCTGAGGCATTTGTTCTCATACTACCTTGTTTTATTTTAGTTACTTACACTATTCATCAATATTTAAACTATCTTATTGTTCATGATCTTTCTCCCCTACTAGAATATAAGCTAATGAGAGGAGAAATCTTTTTCCCTGCTGTGTTCCCAACAGCCTGAACAGTGTCTGCCCACCTCTAATATCCACTCAATAAACATTTCTGGGCAAGATGAACTTTATGAATAATTAACTTGCCAAAGCTCACCTGAGTGAGATTTCGCCACACTTTAAAATCACGTGTATGTCATGTGTGTGATCTGTCTGATACAATCCTGGTGGGCCTAACGCTTGGGTTCTGCTGTCCACTACATAGTCCTGGACCACAGGAGAGTGATGTAATCATACTCTCACCACTGCAAAAAGAAATGCTTAGTTTGGGGACAATGAGAATTTGATGAAACAGTGAGCCAATTTATTTTTAGTTTTGGACGGATGAGCAGAGTAGTCATTTAATAAGAATTAAGGAAGAAAAAAAAAAGCCAAGGGATCCATTTCAAAAAGAAATAGAGGAAAGCTAGAGGCTTCAGCGTCACCTACATTAAATGTGGAACATCTAATACCACCCCCATATAGTTCAAACTCTTCTGGAGAAGGCTAACAGTAAATTCAATGGGAAAGGAAACATAGTGGGAAGGAAAAAATTGGGGAGCAAAAGAAATGGAGAGAAAAATCACATTCACAGCCCAAACAGGTGTGCTGGAAAACCTGTGAAATGCTATGGCTAGAAGACAACTTAGATATTTTAAATTTTTTTCTGCATTCGGTGTAAATTGGTGTCCTTCCTGAACCCTACTAATGCCATCAAGGTGTCTGTGCACGTGTGAACACACATGTATGCATGATCTTGGAACTCTGGGGAGGGTGCTGCTGCTCTGCCTACCTTATGGCATCAAAGTGATATTCACTAGATACCCCCAGTCACTTTGTACCTACTCCTGCCATGGAAAGGTGTTTAAGTAACGGGACGTGCAGACGACAGTGCAGGCTCTGGAGGCACAGGGCCCGGGTTTAAACTCCACTTCCACTATGCACTTGCTGTGTAACTTTGGACGTATTCCTTAATTCCTCTGAGCCTCAGTTTCTTTATTTGTATACTTAGAGACCTCACAAAGTGGACATGCTGACTGACTTGATAACCCATGTGAAGGCCTGGCACACAGAGAGCAGAGCGTTTACGAGGCGTCACGATCCTTATCCTGAGCTTTCTCCCCTAATTTTCACAACTCTATGAAACAGGTTATTATAAGCCATCCCGGCCCCACTTACAGAGGAGCAGGTGTGAGCCATGGGGAGGTTAAGTAACTTGTCCATGAATTCACAACTAAGTAGAACTCGGATGAAAATGTAGTCTTAGTCACAAGCCTAAACCAGGTTTCCTAACAACTGTGCAAACGTGGGCGTTCCAGCACCCCAGAAATTATGAATAATCAACAAGCTATCTTCACTCTGCGGCAGCTCTCCTAATATCTGTATCAGAACAAGGGCTCACATCACACATGTGCACACCATCACGGTAGCTCTCCAAAAGAGACCAGGAACCGAGGCACCACAGTACATTTATCACATTTTGTTCCCATGCCCTTATATCCTCCCCTGCAGGCTGGGGACCCCACCAAGAGAAAAGGAGCTACGTTTTATTCATTTCATAGCAAACCCACTTAACACTGTTAGTAAAAAGCAGTTGGCTTTCAACAAAGATTTGTTGAATAAATGAAGAAAATACTGCATGAGAAAGGGCTCCTTAAAATCGCAAAGCACAAACCAAGCTTTTATAAAGTCAACTAAATTATTATAAACTTATATTTACTTATATATTATCATATTTAGAAAAATATAAAGTTATGGGGCCAACTTAATAATAATTATTATTAATAATAAGAGCTATAAAACTTGAGGATTCACTGCATGGCAGGCTAAAGGTCTTATCGCCTTATTTTCATCTTTGCCACAACCCTGAGAAGTAAGGACCATTATTTTGGTAGAAGAGGGCACGCTTAAGGCCACACACTAGGAGGAGCCAGAGCCAGAGTTTTCACTCTTTCAGTTTCTATATCAAACTCCTTTTCTGCACTGCAGAAGGAAAAACATTATTTTTTTAAAGATACATATTTCACAAACCATAAAATTCACCCATGTAAATATATAATCCTGTGCGTTTTAGTATATTCACAAATTGTGCAACCATCATCACAATCTAATTTTAGAATATTTTCATCACACCCAAAAGAAATTCTACACACAATAGCTATCAGATGTAACTACAAATACTTTACATGCACAAAAGAAATACAAATTTTTTAAATAAAGCCTCCATTAAACATATGTATGAATGTATATTTGATACAGCTAATGCAAAAGAAAATCATGAAAGGAATTCTAAAGGAGAAAATATGACGTGGTGGGCCTTCTGTAATTTTGCATCAGCAACATCACCCTCCGTCTGAGCAGGGCAAGTTATCAACAGCTCACGTCCACATCCCACTCAGGTGATGCAGGTCAAACTGCAATTTCAAGGACTTCTTAGCATTTTTGTATTCACAACCAAATCGTAAGACCAGGAGGGAATGTAGATCAAATAGCGTACCGCCCAGCTGCCTTCGCTATTCACTCAAATATTACATTAACGTCAAAGACAGAAGCTTAGAGAAATAGTCACAAAAGTTAGAGAGAGGTAGACTTTCTTTTTCAGCATATGTTCCTGTACCTCTCCTAAGAACCCACAGCATTGCATTTGATAATTTATAACAATCATTAAAGCACAATTTAATAAATTCTGCATCCACTTCAAATAATGAAAAGGAACTCACTGTTGGTAAATGCGTCTTCATCTTCCTCTCCGTCGCTGTCACCACATGGAGCTTTATAAGGAGGCGGCAGCTTCATTGGAGGTGGGGCAGTTCCTCGCCTCTGAAGATGAAAAATTTGAGAAAAGGGTTAACTGCCTTTGCACAATCCTCTTCCTCAATGACTAACAGGGTAGAAAGGGAATCTGTAAATATTTTGACTGTATCCAACTTCAGTCACATCATGAGGGTTGTCAAACAAGTACAATTGATTCTCCTATGTTTATGCTCTTACGTAAAAGGGACTCTGTGATGTAAACACACCAATACAAAAACAGGAATTCAAAAGCACAGCTTTTAAGGCTGTTGAACTACCCAGAAGAACGCATTCCTTTCCCCAATGAGAAAGCCAATTATATGTATTTTCTTTATACTGTTAAAGTTTAATTTTTTTTGGTACCAACCAAATAATTCAAATGAGACATTTCAAAAATAAATCTAAATATAAAAACTATCCCCTGTATTAATTCTACAACATTTAAACTTTTTATTCAATTGTAGAAGGTACAGATTTCATTCCTAAAAAAATACTTGAAATGACATATCAAGATTTTCTAACTGAAAAGGTATTCATCTATAATTTGTAGATAGTCAACACACATTTTAATGTTTTAAAAAAGAAAGAAATCTTTATGATGAATACCTTTTGTATTTCTGTATAAGTATTCTTCAAATTTACACAACAAATGATACAGCACATCAACATCTGGTTCAAACAGACTTACTTAAAGTAGAACAAAACACTATGATCAGATTACCTTCACGCAATGTAGACATTTTCTTGAACGCCGGGAAAAATAAAACATGCCAAACTTTAGTGAGATCCAAGCTTCTAAAAAGAATAAGAGCTGATACACCCAAGCACTCCACCAATACCAAAATAATGGGATTAAGATTTGTTTTGCTACAGCATTTCAATAAAGTACATTCAATTATGCTTTATACGACAAAACCACTAATGGCAGGATACACTTCAGTAAATGGACAACGACTGGTCCATTACAGAAAGCAGGGGTGTAATAAATGTCTCCAAAGTAGAAAACACTATTTGAGATCCATAAAGGAAAACACACATCCAAATGTATTTAAGATAATGTTTAACCAAAGCAGTATTTCATATATACGTAGAAAATCCAAAAATCAACAAAATGCAAGTGATGAAGGAAGAGGAGACGCCAAATACAAAATGCTAATTAAGCAATAAAAGGATTCAGAAATGTGATCACAGTGTCGCTTTAGTTCTTGCTTGAAAAAACTTAAAAGTGAGTTAAATGAAGAGTAAAAAGGCAAATAAATTCTTTTCAGTAAACCTTTTCCTCAGAGCCAGATCATTCTAGGTCAAAGACAGTACTCAGAACAAAGACAGCCAGCTTTTAAAATAATATTAAGAGATACAAATTCTCTTTAATAGCACTTCTTTTATATTTAAGGGGAAATTGTTTATGCAGCCTACTTATTTAACTAACTTCTACCAACAGTCTTGAAAAGAGAAGACAAGATAAGCATGTCTTGGTCTCCCTCAAGTCTGAATGTGGGGTGCTACTGCACCTGAGAGAACGGTGTAGGCAGAGCAGGCTCTCCCTGTAGCAGTGAAGGCTGGAGCAGGGGACACACAAGGAGGCCAGGTGAATACAGTCTCCTTGAGCGCTGAGAACACAGATGGTGTGGTATCCTCCACTCCGAGAACAGTGCCTGGTACAGGGGAGGCCTCCCTTAACTATTTGCTGAATGAGTAAACAACTGGTTGTCACTCACGCTTTTCAGGTTCCCTGACATATTAACTTTGCGAAAAATGACAGTGACGCAAACGGTTTTTGCCCAATAGTGTTGCATATTAATTTTGTCTGGTAGAGATGCAAATTATTTTAGTTCTATAGAAAGGATAACTCCAAAGGTTACAGCTTTATTGCCCTGTAAGACATTAATCAGTTTTGTGTCTAAATTTGAGTATTCCTTGAGCATTCCTTCATTCAGCAATTACAAATACTTCGCTCTCTCCAGTTCTCTCTGAACCAGGCTAACCACCTGGTTAGTTCCCTCGTTAATAAGTTAAATAGATACATGGTACCTGCACATTTTGCATAATTTTATAGGTCATATTTTTATTTTTTCTTAAATTATACTTTGTCAGTTTTGGAGGTCCCATTGAGATGTTCAAGTAGACTCACCTTCCAGAACCAACTGAATTGTGACTCTTGAGATGTGCAATCAGGAGCTGTTTAAGCCCATATACGTGATTTCTCAGCTCCCACAGTAAATCCCTGGTGGCAACAGAACTTTGTCTTTTTGACTCTGCTTCTCTGTTTTTTATTTCCAATTCTATGTTTTTGTTTCTGATACTAGGCCAAGTTGGGTTTTGATTTGTACTTGGGCATTAAGTTATTTCCCATTAGTAGCAGTAATAAATGGAGTTTGGTTTTATGGTTCTGACAATTTAGTGATACTTGCTGGGACGATGAGAATCTATTATATATTGGTTCTATAGGGATCTATTGGTTAGATGTATTGAATCTAACCAATAGATCAATCTACTCAATAGACTATTGGTTCTATAGAGATCTATTCTCTACCACTTGAGAGACAACAGCGAATGTATTTGTTAGTCTCTGTTTGCCTGTTGGTGCTTTTGTACAAGAACATGTCTCGGGTCCACTGGAAAGAACACTTTTTGACATGCAGACCAGCAGGTTTTTGCATTTCTGCGTCTACCTCTGACATAAGGCTAAAGCTGGGGGACAGGCCGAGAGCACTCTGTGTCTGCAATTGAGAAAAGGCCTCACCTCTCATGGTGAGTGTGAAATATCTTCATGCCTTCAGGGGGTATTAACAGATTAGATGTAAGTCTCCTAAAGAATCTCTTTCTGATTGACTTACAGAGACCAATAAGCATTATTTAAACCTAATATTCCCTAAATTCTAATAAACTTTAAATAAGTTAATAAACTCTAAAACTCTAAATTCTATTATTCGCAATGTCAGAGTGTTCCAGAAAATAGTGGAACTAAACTTCTATTACTTTAGATGTGCCAGCCTTTTAATTAAAAAAAAAAAGAAAAAACTCTTTTCACAGAAACCAATAACTCCAAAGCATTTTTATACAAGAATCCAGATTCACAAAATCAAAGTGATTTGGTAATTTTAATTTAGAAACAGCTATACTTTCTCCCTGATCTCCTTGGTCTTATTGGTGTGGAGTAAAAAAAAAGATGTATATGACTATAAAAACCTTTATACCGGGGCCATCCCAGCGGCATAGTGGTTAAGTGCACATGCTCCGCTTCAGTGGCCCGGGGTTTGCAGGTTCGGATCCCAGGCATGCACTGATGCACCGCTTGTCAAGCCATGCTGTGGCGGCATCCCATATAAAGTAGAGGAAGATGGACACCAACGTTAGCCCAGGGCCAATCTTCCTCAGCAAAAAGAGGAGGATCGACAACAGACGTTAGCTCAGGGCTAATCTTCCTCGCAAGAAAAAAAAAATTTATACCAACATTGCATGATACTCACATGTCTATATGCTACGAATGTATACAAACATATACATATATTGATGTATATAAGAACATCACAAATATTTACACGTTAACCTGAGCATTATCAGCCAACTTGAAGGCTCAGCACAATGTGGAATATCACTGATGGAGCACTGTACTATCTGCTGCTGTTAAGAATGACCAGACAGCGTGCACCCTATAACCCTCTCAGTGCCATCAGGAGGTTCACAAGGTCACTCGGATCTCTGGAAAACGCCTCCATGAGGTCCCCATAGTCCCAGAGTCTAGCACGTACAGGTTTTTCACTGGGAATAGATGTAGGTCTTGAACACCAAACTATTGAGGCACACTTTACACATAATAAAGTGACTCACTTGAAGCACTCACTTGGAATAGACACACTTTTATAAGTTTAACACAGACTATATTTTTAGGGACTATTATGTTTGGTGGCAGACAGCATCTTCATTTGGTAATACACAAAAAGAAAAGGAAGATAACAGAAGATGACGACTTCTCTCCTAGGTAACACCTCCCAGTTGTGACCAGTGTCCACAAGTCCCTCAGGAGAAAGAGTGTGAAGTAACACTGAAGAGAAATTGAGAGAGAAAATACCACAGAGCTGCTATGAACCCACAGTTAATATTAGTGTCTCTATGAATCCTGACTGCCTCTTGTTTCACAGTCTGCATGACGAGAACAGGTCAGAAAAGACTGACCTGAGAAAACAAAACAAGAAAAAACCAGGCATTTACTCAAGGCCTGCTCATTGTTTTTTTTTTTGTTAATTTTTTAGTCACTCTCTCTTTTTTTTAATGTGAATGGTCTCAACCCAAAATTTAGATTTCTAGCCTAGACCTCGAGTAGTAATGAGTTTCAGGTGATTTTTATTGTCTCACCCTGGATTGTCAGTAATTCTAGAGAACACGTATCCCTTCTGTATTAAAGAGGAAACAATGCCTAAGGGGAATTGCTTCTGATGATGATAACTTTTACAGAGAGGGCGTAGTCATCATCTGACCTCCCAGCTCCGGGAAGCCTCCCGGCTTGTGCCCCTACAGCAGCCCGGGCGTGTTCCTGTCACGCTACCTACACTTGTGTTTATTCACCACATGTCACTTCATCCATGCGCCTCTGGGAGTGAAATGCTCTGTCATTCCAGAACGTAGTCTAATGCCTGGCACATAGGACGTAATTTCAGAGAGGAGCAATAGAGTAAAGTACATCTTGTAACTGCTGAAACAGAATCCTGTCACGGAGACGTGGATTCCAGGACGACTTCTCCTGCTGCCATGTTAGCTCAGTGGTTAGCTGTTCTCTACACCACAGAGCTCAGCTGGATAGACTTACACTGACTTTTGGGTGTACTGGGCTCTTACTGTATTTTTTTTATTCAGATGCAAATATCCTTCCAATGTATTGAAATTCAGTTTGGTTTAATGGAACAGGCCAAAGTTGATAAGAATCATACATTTATCTTTTTCCTTCTTTGGATCCTACGTGGAATTTTCCTGAATCAATTACATTACCCTGTCCCCCAGAGCAATTAAATTAGTAATCAGTTTATTCATCTATGTGTGTTTATTGTCTGCGGCCCCACACACCGAGCCCTGTCTGTTTCCTCTCTGATGTTCTATCACCAGACGCCGAACAGTATCTGGCGCACGACGGGCTTGCAATAAACAGACGATGAATGTTCAGATCTTAGAATCAACGTGAGAACTGATGAAATTCCAGTGATAGAATAGTCTAAATATTCTGAGAAACTCTACTTAACCACATAAAAATGACAGATAAAATTTCTAAAATGTGTTTTTGTAACATGTGACTGAGGCCAGAAACAACCATAAATCCCAAATCAGAAGGTGCAGGGGCCTGGGAGCCCTGGAAGGGGGCTGCCCAGGGGACAGGTGGGAATCCCTGGTGACAGACCAGAGAGCTTGTTTTGTTGCCTCCAGGATTCTTTACTCACTCATCCAGTATGTACTGTGTGCCTGTTAGGTCCAGGCTGAGTTCCGGGCACTGGGGACAGGGTGACAGAAGAGACCCTGCCCTTACGGGCTCACATTCCGGCCCTTTCCATATGTCACGTTCTGTGGTCTTCTGTCTTGCCCCCAGTTGCATTAAAGCAGCAGTCGCTGAGTTCTATGAGGTTTGCTTTGCCCGACTAGAACGCAAGCTCCAGGGGGCAGGGAGTCTCTGTTTGTCTTTAAAAGCTTCACTGCAGGATACTGACAGTATCCTGTCACAGAAGGATAGACATAGAAAAAACTGCACACATTTTAAAGCGTACAGTCTGAATCCATCACCCCAATCAAGATAGTGAACAGAACCATCGCTCCAAAGTTTCCTCGTGCCTCTTTTTAACTCCTTCCTGGCACCCCGTTCTCCGCAACTACTAATCTACTCTTTGTCACTACAGGATGTATCTTCTAGACATTTATATAAACGTAACCACGTAGTCTCCAGTTGTTTTATCTAGCGAGGGCGAGGGATTTAACTAGGCCCAAAGCCTCCACTGGAGGTCCAGTTAGGCGGGAGGTGGAACCAAAGACATCACCTCCCAGCCCAGTCCCTGCAAACGAAGCCGGCACCTCCGACAGGCTGAGAAGAACTCTGCAGTAACGACCTACAGCCTGCACACACCAACACCTCTACGAGCAGTGCCACGGTCTTCCCGAGTCCACACATTATGTGTTTAGTAACAGCTGCCAAAAACAAACCACAGAATCCTGAACAGCCAGTACATGCTACTGCTACTCTTTACTCTTCATCTCTGGATTAGGGTCGGGACTCAGAGAAGGTGGCAACCAGGTGGAAAGAGACGGTCCTATAATGTGGTCAGCAGCCCTCTGCTCCTTTCCCCTTCCAAGAACCTTCCCCAGTGCCCAAGGCCCCACGTACATGTTTGTAAACAAAGTTCTCGCAAGCATCCAATTCAATTACAGCTTTTTATTTTTCTTTAACAATGTGAAACCTGCAATGAGTGAAGTAAAAACAAACAAACCAAAATCCTGATCACAGAAGACAGCAGAGTACCTCCTGGCCTTGGGCTTGGCTGGAGGCGGAAGAAAAGAAAGAAACAAGTACAACGGTGTTCCCTGAGAATTCCTCACAAGCCCCGACTCACCCAGGGTGGGGAGCTGAATGCATTCCACGTGGCTCAAATATTTCCAAGCCAAAATACCTGGCAAATACAAAGAGAGAGCTGGCATCGTTTCAGTGATGTTAGATCTAATAGATGTGAAGGCGTTACTAAAGAATGCCACACATTAATAAAGGGGTCAATTCCCTAGGAAGATATAAAAATTTTAAGCTTGTAGACACCTAACAAATTAACTTGAAAAAATGTAAAATAAAAACTGAAAAACTACATGAAAAATAGACTAATTTGACCATCAAAATGGGAGATTATTAGATCACCCTGACAAAAAAAGAATCAGTTTGTACAAAGAATATCTGAATAACTCAATTAATTAATTTGCCCGAATGACTCTGTATAAAAACCTGTACCAAATATTACTAGATGGTAGCTATTTTAAATCATAAATAGACATTTACAATAACTGACAATGTGCTCGGCCATAGAGAAGTCTTAACCAAAGTAAAAGAATATTACAGAAACTGCAATCTCTGATTAGAACTGAAGTATGTTAGAAAACAGTAATAATAAGTTTTTTAACAATATTCATATAGAAATTTAAACATACATTTCTAAATAAACTTGGGTAAAAAAGAAACCATAATGGGAGCTAAAAAAAAAAAAAATTTAGTGCCAAACCATAGAAATTCAACCTAAAATCTTGAGATGCAGGTAAAGAGGAACTTAGAAGGAAATTTATGGTCTTAAATGATTATTTTAGAAGAGAAGAATGGCTAAAAATTAATAAACCCTACAACTAGCTACAGATTACTAGGGGGGAAAAGGAGAATAAACCCCAACAAAGAAGCAAAGCTACATCAAGATGAGACAAAACTAAGTAAGCAAAATAAAGACACACAGAGGAGACTAACACGATTCGAAACTTAATTCTTCAAAAAGACAAGTTAAATGGAAAATTACGTTCCAGATTAATTAAGAAAAAGAAAAATTAAAATAATAAATTATATTCAGAATGAAAAACAACTACTCTGGCTTGAGCACAGATAATACCGGTGAAGAGAACACACAACAACTTCACGCCAACAAATGTGAGAGACTAGGCAATGTCGATACTCCCAGAAAGGAGTCAGCAACCAAAACTGACTCTGGGAGAAACAGGAAATCTGAATAGTTCACTAACTGTTCAAGAACTGAATCACTATTTTAGATTTTTCCCACATAGAAAACACAGGCCCACGACGGCTTCATAGGCTAGTTTCACCAAACATTTAAGGAATAGATAATTATCATTTTACACAAACTTTCAAGAGAACTAAAAAGAAGAGATACTCCCACTATTCAGTTCAGTAGTCTCATATAACCAAACCCAATCTCATTCATGACCACAGATGCAAAATCCTAAAAGAAATAATACCAGCAACAAGCAAAAAAGATCATGACCAAATTCAGTTTAATCCAAGAATTCAAGATTGGCTCAGCATGACAAAATCTGTTAACATAATTTACCACATTAGCGGATGCAAGGAGAAAAAAACATTTATACACACACAATTATTTCAGTGAATGCAGATAATACATTTGCTAAAATTCAATACCAATGCCATTCATGATAAAAATTCTTAGCAAAATAAGAATGAAAGGGAATACTTCCTTAACCTGAAGGATTATCTATAAACACAGCACACGTCATATTCAATGGTGAAATACTAAAAGCAATTTTTCAAATATTAGAAGGAAATATGACAAGAATGTTACCTATCATTACTTCTATCAAACATGGCGGAGGTCTTAGCAGATATAATAAAACAGAAAGAAGAAAGATTGGAAGGAAAAAACAAAACTGCCTTTATCCAAAGTGGTTATTATGATCTATATAGAAAATCCAGAAATAAAGATCTACATACATAGTATTAGAATTTGAGATTCATATTCTTATTAAAAATATTCCTGTATATTGATGGATCACCTACACAAAGACACTAGAAGGCTCTACATGAAATATTCAATAGGTTTATCTTCAGGTGGCAGGTTTATGAAAGATTTTAATTTTTTTATTTCAGCATTTTGGTTTTCCCAGTGTTCTGCACTGGATTTTTTTATTTTATAAAAGAATAAGAGAATAATGTTACAAGATTTCAAATAAACAAATAAAAGTCAATTTTATGTCTACACACTAGCAACACACAGAAAATACAATTTAAAAATATTTAAAAGCAACACAAAATATACGAATAGCTAGGAATAAACCAAAGATTTATAATACTTTTTTCAAAAAAAGTATAAAAATTGAAAGACATAAAAGAAGAATCTAATAAATTCTAAATGGTATCTAAAAAGATACACCATGTTAATGGCTAAGTAGGTTCAAGATCATAAAAATGTAACTTTTTTCCAAATTAATCTATAGATTTGACTCAATTCCAATCAAAATCCCCAAAGAGTTTTTTTGTGGAACTTGACAAGCTAATTCTAAAATTTATACGAAAAAGAAAAAGGACACAAATAGGTGAGACACGTGTGAAACAAGGTTCACTACGAGGCCTCCGGGTTATGGTGGTGCAGCATTTGTGCCGGGAGGGACTCACGGCACACAGAGCTCAGACACCAATGCCCCCGACAGCCTGAGCCGGGACAGAGGGCATGCTGCAAATTAGTTATCTTTATGGGAAAAAATGAAAATTCACCCCTACCTGACATCATATCCTAAAACAAATTTTAGATCAACTGATTCTACTAGAATAGAGGTGGGGAGAATAGAGGTGGGGAAGCAGGAATGGGGGATTAATTCTGACTGACAGTAAGGAAGGTTTTCTCAGTAGATACCACCTTTGACCTGCCCCATGAAGGATGAAAAGGAAGAGCCACGTGGGCATGGACGTCCAGGCTGAGAGAACAGCGAGATCAGTCGCAGAAACTCCTGTGTGTGAGAGGCGTTTGCTGGGAATGGACAGACAACCAGCCTGCTGAACAGAGAGGAGGATGGCGACGGCTGACGGCGCTTTGTAACATTTCACACTGCGCTCCACGAGGTTTCTGGCCATCGCCTGGCCAGAACCAGTTATGTTCACGGAAAGGAAATACTACAAACACAGTACCTCTACCCTGAGACTCATCAAAACACCACTCAGTAATTGCCACTCACATATGCAAAAACAAACCAAAAACATTTTTGAAAAGCTTCAGAGGTTCAAGTTACCTTTTCTTTTTTGTCTTGGGTGTCCTGGTCCTGGTTATTAGCGATTTTGTTGGCCTTGTTATGCACACTAGGAATGACCTACCACCCCAGAAAGGGGCGTGGGAGGAGGGAGGAAAACATTTAAATGTCACACTCATTACATTTCTTAATGTAGTTTTTTACATAGTTAAAATCTTATGTAACTAACTCTCTGACTTCACTATAAAGTAAAGACATGAAGTCCAACTCAAGGAACAATATAACTTGGGAAATCTGACAAGCTATACACCTCGAAATATTGTGTGTGTGTGTGTGTGTGTGTGTGTCCAGAAAGTGAAGATGAAGAAGACTAAAAAGAAGGTCACGATACGGACTGTCACCCAAACATCTCATTTGGAAAATCTGGTTTTGGGGCGACCTAAGTTAATTTGTAGAACATAGGCTGCCCCATTTATTTGACAGACCTACCTTATTCCTCATTGTACTCCAGTTCCAGCAGGCTATCTGGCACACTGTGCACACTCAATGAGCATCTCCCTTCACTGTTAGCATCAACATGAATTACAATCCACGACACCATAGGACAAAGGCTCCGTGAGGGCTGGAATTTATCACCATCACCCTGGTGCTCAGACAGAGCCCAACACACAGGGGCCTCAATAATGTCTACACATGAATGAGACAGTTCAATTTCATAGAAATAATTTTAATTCTCAATAGTGCCAACAGCATAGATTACTTTTGACTCATTTCTTTTTGTAAAACTATGAAACATCTTAAAGAATATATGAAATTTTGAGGGATTTTTTTAAAGGCTCCTCAAATAGTTACAAATGACCTTGGCATAAAATCTGACAACAAACAAAGATTGAAAGAAAAAACAGATCTCTTTTCTCAGAAAATTAAAAGAACTGCCTGCCTAGGGAAAATTTAAAAAACAAAACTCAAAAATGCTTCTCTCTAAATGTAATTTAAGATTACTTTTTTTTCACTTTTAATATAGAGTCTAAAGAAATAAATTATTTTTGGAATAAATGAGAAAGTCTCAGAAACGTTTCATTTAAGTAAAAAACAATAGCAATGATATATCAATATATATTCAGTGCTTCCTATGTGAATAGACACAATGCCTAGCGCTTAATATTTACTTCTCTATTTAATACACATGGCAACTTAAGGTAGAGTTAAAAAACGGGTAGGTCCACAGGCATGTTTCTTGTCCTGAAGAATCTTAGAAGAGAACACTGCCTCCCTGACAAGTCTGAACGTCTGCCATCACTGGATCTGCTTTCTCCCAGGGAAACACCAGCTGCAGCTGAACAACACAAGCTCTTGGTTGGGCCAGAATGTCAGTTGCCATTCAAAAGGTTTACACTGTTTGTTTTTCGAATAGCAGAGAAATATATTTCCGTACACATAGCGTTAGCAAAATTTGGAAGACAAAAGGCTCACCAAGAAGACTGTGTCTTTAAGAAAAGTAGAAGAAAGGGTATTTCTTGTGAAAGTAAAAAATAGATTTGTATATGCTTAATATGCAAAATGTACATGTGTCAAGAAAAATTAGACAATATTATGAAACAGTGGTATTAGGGAAGTAAAAATGAAACATAGAAAAAGAAACAACACGTGATAATAAATTTAATGAACCAAAGGGATGACCCCAATTCCAAAAGGGTTTGTTTTTGAATATGAAAAAAAATACGTGATGTTGCTGTGAAATGCAGTTATGTTATTAAGTGGAAAAAATTACCTTGGCATAGAAACTATAGAGGAGTCAGTATAAATCATGGGTTCTGCTCTCAAATTAGCATTTGCCAAGTAAATCTAAGAAGATACACACATTTCGTTCTAGCATGCTGAAAATACAGTTGAGAAATTCAGGAGAAAAAGCTTAAAAAGGTAATGTATTGGTGGTATTCCTAAAACATCTGTTAAAAGCACAAATATAAAAAAAATAATAAAATACCACTTAAAGAAAAAAAGTACAAATATAAACACTACCACTCAATTCATGGTGTTGATGAGAATTTCCATGCGACCAAGGCACGTTTAGACATAAGGCCTTTGATGAGCCCAACGTTAGATGATGACTTTGGCAGTTTTATGGAAAGTCTCAAAGTCGAATGTAAACTGGTCAAAAATGATTAAACGTTTGGCTATATTTTCTCCTCCTGTGATGATCAATACTACTTGCAACAAGAAGTAAGCTGAGGAGAGCACCACTTTGCAAAGATATGAAACTTGATTCCTTTCAACGCTGCACTCAGCAGGAATCACTTTGTGCTAAAAAGCGGAACAAGCCATGGACACAGTAATGAACGCCACCGCCTGGACGTGCTCTCCTGGCTGGAACCACCGATAGTCCAGCGCCTGATGAGTGGATGCACCAGGTGGCAGTCTCTCAAGCTACGTGGGGGTCCGTGACTGAACATGGCATGATGCTGAGATTTTCTTTTATAGAACAGTTGAAATAAATTGCACTGTTTATATTATCCAAGCAAAAATTTCCACCTCAGCTCACCAGCAAAGGCTGGACTGAAAGCCTGGCCTTTTTGGTTGACTTTATAACCTATTTAAACGCTTTGAATGTTTTTTGGCAGGGCATTCACAAGTGGCCACATAAATGTATAATTTGATTGGCTCATTCTAGCTGAGAACTGTTTCTTCGGAAGTATCATTTGGCAAGGAGTAATCCGGCCAGTTTTCCTACTGAGCTGAGCTTCCAGTGATGGCCTCAACTACCTTCTCAATATTATAAGAGTTAAAAAGGGAATTCCAAAAAATCTTGAATTTCAAACGGCATGAAAATGAGAAGACTTTATTCAGGTCACCTCTCTCCACTAGTCTGGGTGGTGTAAGCACAGCGCTAAGACTGGAGGGGACCATACTGCAATGCAGTGCACCACAGCAACCGCGCTAGTGGGTCAGGCTGCAGCCCACTGCGTGCAGGCAGGCCACAAGTGTGTGGAATAGCATGGTGATGCCCCTGCCCTCGGGGCAGCCAAACATCTGTTTGCCTAGTTTTCCACACAAATACTATTTTCCATATGGCTTGACGTATAAAAGGTTGAAAAGCACTGTAGTACTGTATTTAAAAGCCAATTTTTTTAAATATGCAGTTTTTCTACTGTTCAAACTATGTTTTGAACAGCTGTCTTCCATTATAAAATAAAGAAAAATAAACATTGCTTCCAGTTACAAGGCTTAAGGGTGACATTTCTGCTGCACATGGCAATATAAAATACATATCCCGCCACTGACATCTGCATATCTGAGTTCTAATTCCATACCAAAAAAGTAATTTATTACAGGAAAAAATTTTATGATTAGATATTGCTATTTTTGAATTTGAAATCTCCAGCAGAACATACAATACAACATGTTTGTATTTTTACACGCTTTAACAAATATACAGAACATTCGCTAGTACCTCTAGAATGTCTGCATACCTGACCCTCTTCATGTTCAAAGTGTTTTATAAACAAAGTAACTGGTCATAAAAGTGAAGTAACTTGTCCCCAGGTTAGCAAAGCTGGTAATTAGGGACACAGGGAATGGAGAGCAGGTCTGTTTGACTCCACAGCCTGTGACTTAAACCAGTGCACACGGGAGCGACTCAGATTTGACTAGGAGCTCAAAATCAGAGAAAAAAAGGGGAAATTGAAGTTCATAACCCAATTTTTACGAAGCTAATGCTTTTTCTAGGTAATAGTAGAGTAACAGTGAGAATACATGGAAAAATACTTGGATGCAGATATAGAGAACATTTTTAAACTTTTTGAAAATAGGAACTAAAGCTTACTCTCGGAGTGGATGACAAGCTCTGAACGACGAACACCACAGGGTTTCCTGCATTCTTAATGGCCTCGACTGCTTCTCTGTGCGAGGCATTCTGCAAATCTACTCCAGACACCTAAAACGCAGAAGGAATTTATTTCAGTTAGAAAGCAGTAGAGGGCCGGCCCCGTGGCTTGGTGGTTAAGTGCACGCGCTCCGATGCTGGTGGCCCGGGTGCGGATCCCAGCGCGCACCGAGGCACCACTTCTCCCTCCATCCTGAGGCCGAATCCCACATACAGCAACTAGAAGGATGTGCAGCTATGACATAGAACTATCTACTGGGGCTTTGGGGGGAAAAAATAAATAAATAAAATCTTTAAAAAAAAAAAAAAAGAAAGCAGTAGATACTGTGGATAGGTTAATTCAAAGTTCACATGTATTATCTAGTTCTGAGAACACGTGTAAAGTGAGGATGGATAAGTGAGAGAACACTTTATTTATATTCAACCGACAGCAGAGAAAGATGAGGGGAAAAAACAAAACCAAAATTCAAAAAGATAAAACCATGAACGAGCCAATTAGAAAACGAGCAGAAGATGCGCAAACATCTCACTGAAGAGGATACAGACGGCCGTGAAGCACATGCAAGTCCTTCCTCATCAGCCATGAGGGAAACGCAAAATGAAACACTGAGAGATCACTGTACACCTATCAGAATGGCTAAAACGAAAAACAGTGACAACACCAAATGTTGGTGAGGATGCAGAGAAACCGGATCATTCCAACATGCTGGTGGGAATGTAAGATGGTGCAGCCACTCCGGAAAAGACTTTGACAGTTCCTCAAAACTAAAAATGGACCTACCATCAACCCAGTAATTGCACTCTTGGCTATTTATTCCAGAGAAACAAAGACTTACTTTCACTCAGGAACTTGTATACAGATGTTTATAGGAGCTTTATTCACAATAGCCAAGAAGTGGAAACTACCCAAATGTCTTTCAGTGGGTGAATGGTTAAACTGTGGTACCTCCATACCATGGAACACTACTCAGCCATAAAAAGGAATGAACTGTTGACAGACACAACACATTGAACGAACTTCAACAAAATTATGCTAAGTGAAAAAAACCAATCTCAAAAAGACACATATTGCATAAGTCCATTTATGTGACAATTGTGAAATAACATAATTACAGACATGGAGAAACAGATTCGTGATTGCCAGAGGTGAGGGATGGGGGAGGGGAGAGGAGTGGCTGTAGAGAGGCAACATAGGGAGTCTTGTGGAGACGAGATAGCTGAGTTTCCTGATTGTGGTGGTGATTATGCAAGGGACACAGGTGATGAGACTGTGTGGAGGTATAAATACATACACCAACGAGTGCACGCATAACTGGGGGAATCTGAACGAGGTCTATGAATTGTGCCCATGCAGGTATTTTGGTTTTGCTGTCGTTAGTTAAGACTGGGGGAGGCTGAGGGAAGGGTACACGGGACTTTCTAGTATATTTCTTTGCAATTTCCTATGACTCTATAATTATTTCTAAATAGACAGTTAACGAAAAAAAGATAAAACAAAATACAAAATATACATTTAAAAATTGGGTCAGCCCCGCAGCGTAGTGGTTGAGTTTGGCACGCTCTGCTTTGGCAGCCTGGGTTCGCAGGTTCGGATCCCAGGTGCAGACTTACACCACTTGTCAAGCCATGCTGAGGCAGCAACCCACATACAAAATAGAGGAAGACTGGCACAGATGTTAGCTCAGGGTGACTCTTCCTCAGCAAAAAAGAAAAAAAAAAAACGTTCGAATATATCAGTAATCAAAATAAAAACAACTAATGTCACTTATTTACTAGATGAGATGATCAATTTAGATTTAAAAAAGCAAAATCCAGCTACATGTTGTTCACAAAAAATACAACAAACACAAAATCACTAATAAGCGTGAAAATGAAGAAATGAAAACAACAACATGCCACATAAATGCTGAATAAAGGAAACCAGGCCTGCCCCTGCAGCCAGAATTAACGTGTATGTGCTCATAATTCTCTAACGGATTCTCACCGTGCTCAGAGTCGAGGACCTTCCAGGCTCCTCTTGATGGGGCTTCGCATCACCTCTCAGACACTTTCTCTCCCCCACCTCGTTCACTCCACCCACTAGCAGTGCTGACTTCCCTCTGTTCCCTCCGCACACCCAGGCAAGCCCCAACCTCACAGCTTTCCCACTGGAGTTCTCTCTGCCTGGAGCCTTCTTCCCCCATAGAGGCAGAGGGCTCATTCTCACTTCCCATATTTGTCCCAGGATCATCGTCCATAACAAATGTATTCATTGCAACCACCAGCTTCACCCTGCTATCATTCCTAGCCTCCTCCCTGTTATTTTTCCCATTAGCTACTTATTACAATCTAACATTCTACATATTACTTATTTTGTGTATTGTCCATCTCCCTCACTATCATGATTTCTGGTTGTTTTCTTCACAGCCATATCCCCAGCATGTTTAAAATGTTTGCCTTTTTTTAAATTTCATAAATATAACCTAAAATTTGCATATACAGAGCAGTTTTATGCAATTCTTTGATTTAATCCTCATTATGATGCTATGGGTTTTGAATTCTCGTTTCCATTTTATTTGGAAACTGAGAATAAGGTGGGTTTAATAATCTGTCCCAGAACAAACAGAAAATAAACAGGACAATCTCGACTTCAACCCACGACCTCTAGAGCTCTTTTCACTCTGTCAGAGCTAAAACACCACAGCTGACATTCAGCATCGTAAAGTATGAATCAATAACCAGCAGATTCTGGGACTGAAGATATTCAATATTGCGTCATCCAATAAACCCGATGCAAAGACATGTATCCGATTCAGACCTCAGGACATTCTCAGTGTCTTGATGTGCCCTAAACCTCCGCTCTGCAAAGCCTACGACATGCGAACGATGGATTCACCCCTCCCCCAATGGGGTCTTCGACTTCCAGGGTCAACTCTGGGAGGACGAGCATGGCTGTCCCACCAACACATAGCTACAAAATTCAGAGCTTGTTAAAGATCAGGAGAAGCACGAGGCCCACCACCTGCCTCATTCTGTTAAACTGTGAAACCGCGTTTTCAGTCACCTGAGGCTTTTTGTTTTATATGCTACCACCTCGACTTCAGACTCTCATAACATCGTGCAAACGACACACAAAGGCATCCAAATAAAACACACCCATGTGCACACATACACCCCAACGATGCAGAAAGGACTTCTGGCTAAATGATTGTTTTACTCTCTTACAGCACATTTCAAACAGAAACAGAATTTTAACATCATTTACCTCAAGTATTTTATCTCCAGTTTTAAGAGCGTTTGTTTTCCCTGCCGGGCTGTCTTCTAGAACTTGCTTGATAAATATTCCTTTAAGCTCCTCTCCATTCTTCAGGCGTTTTATAACGGTTTGTCCACCGACAATACTAATACCAAGAGACACGTTGGGTTCTCTGAAAATCTCAACACTGTAAAAAGAAAAAACAAAATTCACTCACAAACAAGTTAACTTAATTTGCTGGACTGTCGTTAAGTGTTCAATTTGTCCCATATCCTTGTGACTCATTTTATATAAATGTATTCTCTAAATGTACTTTTATAAATGTCACAGAAATTTTACCTAGTTCCAAAATTATATTTTCAAAAATTCATGGCATATGTAAAAGTTTAAATTCTGAAAAAGACAGATTACTAAAACAGTAAATACAACTCTCAGTATTCAGGGATTTCACTGGGCCCCATGTTGCCACCTCTGACCATCACACACTTTCTGTTATGAGGCCTCTTCATCTACACCCGTAACGTTATAGAAGAATGGATTAAGGAAACAACAAATGAGTGAAACATCAAGAAAGTCACATATATCATTTTGGGAAAAAGCACAGACTCTCAGAACAGAATAAATTTGCCACGGGGAGGCCCGCTGCCCAAGTTGCTTTCCCAGCCAGCAGGTTCCACCTGCGGGTCTATGAGCGCAGGACAGATTTTATCCGCTCCTGAGGCTGAAAGGCTTTCTCTTCTTCCTTCCTCCACATTGTTTTTAAAAAGAAAGTATGGAATAAAACTTGCCCCTCAAAATGTTAAGAATTTTGCTCAGGGGGCCGGCCCCGTGGCTTAGTGGTTGAGTGCGCGCGCTCCGCTACTGGTGGCCCAGGTTCGGATCCTGGGTGCGCACCGACGCACCGCTTGTCTGGCCATGCTGAGGCCACGTCCCACATACAGCAACTAGAGGGATGTGCAACTATGACATACAGCTATCTACTGGGGCTTTGGGGAGAAAAAGGGAGAAAAAAAGGAGGAGGATTGGCAATAGATGTTAGCTCAGAGCTGATCTTCCTCACAAAAAAAAAAAAAGAATTTTGCTCAAACTGCACAGATGTGGCCAATAATTAAAAGTAGCCCAGAAAGAAGCTCCCAAGAGTTTTTAAGACAAAACTCAGAAGTGCATGAAAAATCAGACAATTTGGGTGGGCATGGTGGAATTAATAATGCATGAAGAACAGAGAGAGCAGCTAAAGGAAGACTTTCACAATCTTAATAAAGTGCAGCCTGGTGACAACTTAAAACCACAAGAGTATCCAAGGTGAGTGGGCCCAGCATGTTCTGTCAGCTCTAAGGAGGCACAACTAGACTAACACAGGGGAGGAGGGGAGAGAAACTCACACACAACAGAAGCCTCAACTACTGCCGTTGTTCATTAAAAAAAAGAAGCTTTCCGAGCCAGCCTTGATGCCCTAGTGGTTAAAGTTCGCACTCTCTCCGCTTCAGCGGCCTGGGTTCATTTCTCGGTCTCGGAAGCACACCACCCGTCTGTCAGCAGCCATGCTGAAGCAGCGGCTCACATAGAAGAACTAGAAGGACTTACAACTAGGATATACAACCACGCACTGGGGCTTTGGGGAGAAGAAAAAAAAAGAGGAAGACTGGCAACAGATGTTAGAGTTAGCTTAGGGCAAATCTCCCCCCCACCACACACACAAAAGCAGCTTTCCTACATTCAGGGCAGCCCCGTCTGCCCTGCTGAGTGATGAGTGACAAGCTAGATTCAGCCCATCAGTTACTGTTCTAGATCGACATTCGTGAATTGCTCTCTCTGAAAGAATATGATACAGGTTTTCCTAATATCGGTTATAGTCATTTTGCCGGCTAAAAAGCTCTCGATAAGACAAAATGGCACTAAAATTTAGGCCAGCCTACACGTGAATTGTGACAATTTCTCAATCATTAGCAAGGACTGAATGAGGCTACTATGCTAAAGCAAAGAGCAGCTGATCGGTTCCCCTGATGAGAACAACAACGATGCCAAAAACGTACATTCTTGGTGGACCCCAGTGGCTGAAGTTTGGCGTTTCTTCTCCTTCACCTTCTTCTCTCTCAGGTAACTCACTGAGGTGGGAGAAAGGAAAAAAGTACACACGTATAAGACACACTCTTGTTATCAAAAGTTCTTGGAAAGTTTTGAAATTGCACAATCTCTATGTAGACAGTTCTTAATTCTTAAGCTCTAAATACTTACATCAATGGTTCACTGTCCATACAAAGCAAAAATATGTTGTTTTAATATTCAACTCAACATATATCCAGCACCAGAGAATCACAGAATTATCATAGACAATTTTATTGGTGACACTCTAGATGCTATTTTCTAAAAATCTGTTTTGATTTGTACAATTTCACACTTGCTTCTCCATCAATATATAAAATATTATAAAATATGTTCCTTAAAACTTGGTAATGACTGACCAGCTAAGAGAACAGTCCAGTATAAAACAACATAAATAGCTGACGTGGCTAAACAGTTAGTAAACATGGTCCCTCTTTCTAGGTTTTTCTGTCACTCTAACCCTGTCATTTGTATCCCCTGAATATTTGTATAATTATAAAGCACTTTTCAGTTTACACAGAAATTTACTCTGTTATTTGATCCTCCCACCTGCTACCACCATAGGTTACCCACCAAGTTCTGTTAGTGTGTGGAAGTGCTTAACTGGGTGACATAAAATGCTGAGTTACAGAGCGGTTAGTCATAAAAGTAACGCTGTCTAACGGGGTAGAGACATTACCATACGTTAGCTGGAGGAGGAGTCAGGAGCTCTAGGCTCCTGTGTAACCTGCACCATGAAATAGGCACGTGACCGGACCACCAAATGAAACAATGTGTCTGGTACTGTAAATCGTATTGCTCTACACGCAAGGGTACGTACCACCTCTAATGCTCCATTCTCACAAACCCCTGTGTGGGGAGCACAGCAGGTCAGGCTATTCCATTTTCCGCAGGAGGAGCCGAGGCTCGGGGAAGGCACAGACATACCGCACAAGCTCTCCACAGCCTCCAAATCTGTTTCAGCACTAAGTCTCAATGCTTCATTTTCCTCTGAACCCTCAAATAAATCCTGTAAAAAGCAGCAATACTCTCCCTACTTGCCACCCTACAGACTTTTTAGGACATAACGGGTTAAGGCTGAGTGAAGAGGAGAAAGCTGAGAGCGTCCAGATAATCCAAAACCCAGTCAAGAAACTGGGACCACCAGGGACCATTAACATCCCACCACTACCAGATGGCTTTCTTGCCTTGGCAAGTCTGCTCCTTACGACTAACAGCCTCACAGCGTTCAGGGAAAGACAGCCTGGCTGGTTACTAATGTCCTCTCTCTTCCTCCTTACCAGCATAACCTCTGATTCCAGGTGGCACTATGCCCAGCTTTGAAAAAATACAGTTTCTGGACTTCCTTTCAGCCAATGGTCACTGTGTGCCGTAGTTCTGATTAGGGATATGGAAGCACAAGTCCCTGGATGAGATTTCCAGGAAAACTCATTAAGTGGAGAGAGAAGCCAGGGGCAGGAGCCTTCCGCTCCATGCCCTTCCCTTCCTCTTGCCTGGAAGGCAGAGATGGTACTGGTGGGGAAGCATCCATCCTGAACCCACAAGAAACTGTGAGGACTAAAGCAGCGCATGAGGACAGCAGAGCAGAGAGGAGGTGTTTAATCCCGACAGACCACCTTCTTCAGTTTTTACATGAAGAACATTAAGCCCCTGTTTGGGGAAGCCACACTAAGTGGGGGTTTCTGTTTATGAGCAGCTGACTGCAATCCCTAAACGACACACGAAGACTCCATCAATGTAAGTGAGGTCTTCCCCTTATCCTATCACATTACCATTTTTGCATACGTGCTTATGTTTATTGGCTAGCTGTAATTACAATGTAAACTTTCATATTTTGATTATCTTATGTAACAGTAACAAGGATTAAATGAGATATGACTGGCATTTAACTGAGGCTCAACCAACATTTGTTTCCTTCACAATTTTTTACTTGAATTTGTATCAAAATTTTCCTTGCATATTATCACAATCTTCATCAGTTTTTACTTAATAACATCTTAATAGCCCATGGTATTGATGTAATTTATCTGCTATCCCACATATGATGCACTTAGATCATACCCTGTTTTTTGAAATACGGACATTGCTGCAAGGAATGTCCTTGCTCTGCTGTCATGCTCTGCTGTATTTCACAATTCCCCTTTAAACAAATATTAACTGAAGTAAGACTGAAAACTAAAAACCAAAGCAACACTGACGCCTTCCTCCTCTCCATTTTCCACTTTCCTGTACCCCAAATCGTGACAGGCATGATAATAAGAAATAAATCTTTGGTCTTTGTCCCTGGTTCCTGACACAGAGCTTCTAAAACCCTTGGAATCTCCCAAGTGATGGACTGACAGGAGCATCCTGTGAGTCACAACAAGCCCCTTTCAACCATACCTGAGTTTATGCTAATGAGGAGGCCCTGGGTGGGTCTCAAGATGCTCCAGGATGGGAGCTGGTGCCAGAGGAACCAAACATGCGATTAGAGGGTAGAACTTTCAGCCCCACCCCCACTCCACCTCTGGGAAGGGGAGGGGCTGGAGATTGAGTTCGGTCGCCAATGACCCACGACAGGATCAATCATGTGGAGGTAATGAAGCCTCCATAAAAACGCCTGAACAACGGGGTTCAGGGGGCCTCCAGGCTGGAGAATACATCAAGGCATTGATGTGCTGGCTGGGAGGGTGATGTGCCTGGAGAAGGCACAGAAGCTCTGTGAGTCCCCCACATCCTCGCCATACCCTGCCCTGTGCATCTCTTCCGTTTGGCTATTCCTGAGTTGTATCCTTGATAATAAACCAGTAACAGTAAGTAAAGCACTTTCCTGAGTTCTGAGAGCCATCCCAGCAAATTACTGAACTTGAGGAAGAGGTCGTGGGAACTCCCAATTTATAGGTGGTTGAGCAGAAGCACGGTTGGCAGCCTGGGACTCTCGACTGGCATCCAAAGTCAGGGTAGTCTTGTGGGACTGAGCCGTAACACTGTGCGGTCTGCACCAACTCCGGGTAGTCAGTGTCACAATGGAACTGACTTGCAGGACACCCAGTTAGGGCACAGAATTGGATGTAGGGTGGAGGAAAAAACTCACATTTAGTGTCAGAAGTGTTGTGAGCAAAATCAGTTCGTAATAGGCATTAAGAAAAAAATATATGTATTTTTATTATGGTACATGTATACTATTGTTACAGGAATTAAATTCTTCAATTTAAAAAAACCTAGAATGTGGGGCCAGCCTGGTGGCGTAGCGGTTAAGCTCTCACGCTCCGCTTCGGTGGCCCGAGGGTTTGCAGGTTCAGATCCCGGGCGCGCACCGACGCACTTGTCAAGCCACGCTGTGGCGGCGTCCCATATAAAGTAGGGGAAGATGGGCACGGATGTTAGCCCAGGGCCAACATCTTCCTCAGCAAAAAGGGGAGGATTGGCATTGGATGTTAGCTCAGGGCTGATCTTCCTCACACACACAAAAAAATAAAAAATGAAAAAACCTAGAACAGAATGGAAACTAAGCTTTAACATTAGTATGGGCCATTCATTTTTCTATTTAAGAAAATGAAAACCAAAAATTTCCTAAACTGCTGGCTTTCACAGTTACTTAAGAGAAGTGGGGAAAAAAGCTCACTGTATGGAAATTTTTAGTTTTCTTAGATAAAGAGTGTAACAAGAGGATTATTCTGTTGGAAGAGACTCACTGACTTTTTCAAAGCATACTGTCTTTCTTCAGGAAGTTGGCATACACATATTTGATTCAGATTATTTCATACTTAAAGAGAGAAAACTTGCAAAAGCTTATCCAGATAGTGTGATGGGTTTTGGAAACACTGTCACAGGAGATGAGCAACTATACAAATTAATGGAGTCACTTCACACTGGTGAAGGCACATACCTTTTAACCCAAAGAAAATTTAACTGAGAAAGTAAAACACTTTTACTGCACATATTAAGATGTAAATGTGCACAAACGTATTTAAAACCTTAATGGGACTTCTAACCTCAAATTTTATAATTTGCACTGTGATTAAATACAGTCAGTAGCTCAATCAGTTAGAATCTCAAATCTTAAAATAACTGAAATTTGCCTCTTACATTTAACCACAGTTTTATAACCAATTTTTCCTCAGAGGAATTAACCACCCAAAAGAAACACTGCTTTTTATTTCAGACCTTCATTACAGATGCCCGAAGTTATCATTCTTTACAGATTTTGGAGGAAAGACGGGGCGCCCCATCAGTGATCCACAGTGTGACTTGATCATGATACACAATCTCTTTGCAAATAAAATTTTCAACACCACACGAAAATCAGATGAATCCAGAGAGACCTTTCCTTTTCAATGTACCTTTTTCATATAAAATTTCCATCTACTAAGCCACGTGAGGGTCAAGTAAACTCAGCATCCTAAAATGGCCTAAGCAGGGAGAATCCTGGTTGAGACTAAGTCACCTCAAGATGTCTTTTTCCTCTTTAAACATGGATTCTATGTGGCAATCTTCTGTGCCACATCACAGGGACTATGGCGTTTGGAACCAGGGAGAAGGGGCTTCTCCAAATTAGCAGGTTCTCATACGGATGTTACACCCTGGTTTGAAGTTGCAAAGCAAATGTCTACCCGACACCAGCAAGCATGAAGAATTAGGTATTCCCTCACATTAAAGTTTAGAGTGACACAGGCGTGATGCTGAGCGAAAGAAGCCGGGTGCAAGGAAGTAAGTACTGTCTGCTGACATTTACATGAGTTCTAGAACAGGGAGAATAATTTACAGTGTTAGAGGTCAGATCAGGAGTTCCTGGGGCAAGACACTGCTAAGCGGCACAGGGGACTTGCTGGGAACTTTCTGGGGTGATGGAGATGTTCAATACCTCCACTGGGCCACTGCGAACACGAATGTGTACATTTATCAAAATTAAACAAACCATCCTTTAAAATTTGTGCATTTTATTAATATGTACAATTGTGTGTAAGAGTTTTGTTAAGAAACAAAAGCTCAAGCCATAAAGGGTAAGTTGCTTCCTCAGGTCAACTTTACTTCTCTTTTGGCCTTCGGTAGACCCTGGATTAGAAACAAAGATCTAACTATGTTTTCAAAGGCATTAGTGTAATATTCCCGGGTAGTTCTTGTACTGATTTCTCACATTCGTCCTCACCTGCAGCGTGGACCACAGCTGCACAGCATTATACCGGAAACCTCCCCTTTTTGCTCCCAACTCAAATATTCCAGAGGAGTCCTTTCTCAATCGCACATATTTACTCTCTCCCTCATCCTCAGCCTCCCACCAATGTCCTGAATTTACACATAAGTTTTGGCAGTTTGTCTCAAAGGTAAACCTGTTAGACATCCACCATTTATTTACAAGGCACCGAATGCCAGGCACCATAGTGGGGGCTCAAAATATAACATTAACTCATTTAAGACTTTCCCCAACTATGACACCCTGCCTCCTCCCTCACCTCCCACATTCACGTCCAATACATGAAAGCCTTTCTTTGCATTTGCATCCTATTATATCTACAACATGATGTTTTTTTCAACTTTAAATATAAGTCTTTCATCTCAAGTTCATCCTCCTCCCAGGCTTTAGCCTCTGACACCTTGTTTTACTTACTGTGAGTTGATCTTATTTTATTACCAAAAAACCCAAAACTACAATCTCCTTGGGTGTTTTAATGAACTCAGCAACAATGAATACTACCCTAGACACACCCCAGGGCCCAAGAGTCTATCTTCATCATCTGGCATTATTGCCAACTTTTCATTAAACGTTTACTGTGTTCAAGGCATTGTACAAAGCCCTTATAGTCACTCTTAATTAACCTGTAGAACTTCCTACTTTGTAAGTGAGGAAATGCAGACACAGGGAAACTTTCCCAGGGTCACGAAGCTATAAATAACAGTAGAACTGTGATGGGCACCACAATATCTACATCTATACTGCAGATCTGCTGTTGGTCTGAGAAACGGGCATGTCCTCCGATCAGGGGCACCCACATGGCTTTGGGCAGCAGGTGACAACAAGACGAGTTGGAAAACACTGAAACCAGGTGCATCCTGAAGACACGATATCAAGTGACCCTATGGAAAGCAGGAACTCAGAACAGAATCACTTGGACCCCTTCTGAGTTACCACACCCTGTCTGCCCGCAGTCTCCTTCCGAGAGATCTCCACTTCCAAGGTGTGTTTGACCTCTTAAAACCAGTCCTGCCTCCAAAGGCAGGGAGAAGTTGGTTGATGCAAATGCATGGTGTGCATTAAATAACTCTGCTGGGTCCCACACGAGATTAATGCAAAAAGAAACTCTAAACTATCCTTTAGCGCTTCATGACACGTCGTCTTCCAAAAGAATCTATGCCTTACTCAGGAAGGCTCCTGAGTGGCAATAAATGTTCACCTCTGAACCTAACTCCACAGGGCACACTGAGAGATTAAAAGGGAGAATATGGTCTACAGGAACTCTTCTGGAACCTGCTGAGATTTGCATATACCATGACAGCAAGCCAAAAAACAATACTCAAATGCAAGACTGGTCTCCCAGGACAAAAGTTAGGTTGGAGCCCTTAAATGCCTGTGCCCACATAAGAAATCAGCGGGACAAAGTTTTCACTTGGGGAGAAAAAGCCTTGGGAGAGAGTAAAGCATATCTTCCCTCTCTGGAGCTGGGAGAATTGAGTAAGACACAGCTGAGGCTCCATTTCGTCTTTCATGTAAGGGGTGGGCTTGGAAATTTGTTTAGATCTTTTCCAATTCTACAGCTGTAGAGAAGCAGCCCCATTTCTGAATTCTCTGGCCAGATTCAATTATTAACACCAAGCACAAGAGAAATTTAAAGAACAAAGGTGTCTCATTTGAAAAGCAATTTGACCACATAAAAAGTCATAAAATGTATTCCTGACTCTTCCCAGACTTCCACTCCAGGCACCTCTCCTAGAGAAACCACCACTGCTTGTTCAACACCGAGAGCTCCTCCGGGAGCCAATTATATGGCTCGCTCACAAGGACACCAGCCCGTCAGCACCTCCCCTCTGCACCGCTCCAGCTCTGCTGAGTGAAAAGCCAGCAGTTTCCTCCAGGCGGTGGGGCCTACCTGAGTCTTTCCTTTCCACTCAGAGATGGGCTATTCAGAAGCACAGAGAACAACTTTGATGACGTTTCTATCTAAAACTCTAGGCGAAGGACACAGGCTGTGAACAGAGAAGTGGTATCATTCTAAGACACTTCATGTACCAACACAAAATCATTCTTGGCTAAGGTTTAATAAAAACATGAAGGCTGCTAAGTCCCACCCTATCTCATCCTGTGGCGCTTTGCCAACACCAACCACTCCGTTGCTCACGTCTCCTCTCCTGTGCTCAGTGCTACGCTGCTCTGGTTTCTCTGCAGATACTGCTCGAGTTCCACGATCACCCCCAAGGCCCCCCCAGCCAACTACCCAGCACAATCCTCGGAATCTCCTCCAAACGTAAAGAAACCATCCCACACCCTAACCTCTTCACTGAATGTTCTCTCAGCAGCTTCTGGTTCTCTGCCACAGACACCACCCTCAAGCGGGTGGTGCCCATTCTCTCACGCTGCGAAGGTGGAAGAGGGCCGATATTTTTCTAAACTCCCTTCCACCACGAAGCCATCACTCTCCTATCCTTGTTTCAAAAGCTAATCTCTACTCTGACATCCCTCCTTTTAATGCCCACTTTACTAGCACCCCATCACTCTTAGTAAATAACCTTCCCTCTACATGACAGGAAAAAATCAAGATCATGGGCAAGAATGTCCTTGGCTTCCTGGCCCTGAGGTGCATAGAGTACCAGAGTGCACTTTCCTGTCTCTGGAGGAGGGGAGCTCCTCCTGTCTCTCTAGCTGTGCAGCATCCTCCTCTCCCTCCACGGATAGGTTTAATCACCCCTTGCTAGCACCTACATAGTCCTTTCCTGGATCTTTCCTAGAAAGAAACACACACAACACACGTAGTTTTATATACATACACATAAAACTCCCCCCGTACCTCAATCCAACAATACCCTCCAGTCGTCCAGGTAACACGCATTCTATCCACCTCTTTCATGACCAGGATTCTCAAAACATGGGTCTGTGCATACTACATCCAGTTTGAGACCTGTTCAATTCTCAACCTACTACCATCAAATTTCCTCTACTGAAACTGCTCTCTGCTCACCAAGGGCACCCATGTGACCGACCCCACGAAAACTCTTCCGTCTTATCTACCTCGACCTCTCTGCAGCATGTAATGACGGCCTGTGATGATCCTTTATTAAAATGTTCTCTTCCCTTGGTTTCCATGCCAACCTCTACTTCAGCAATTTCCTTCTACATTTCGTTCCGTCACCACGGTCTTCCTCCAGTCATACCTTTAATTGCTGCTTTGCAGGACTCCAAGTTGGGACCTACGACCTTCTCATTATTTGAGCTTCCCCTGGATGACCATTCAAATCCAGAAGTTTCTCCTACACTTGATCTTGCCCCCAATTATCCTTGTCGGGATAGACTCCACATTAATCCCAGGATTATGTATCTACTAGACTCCACTTCACTCTGCTGTCCTGTGGATATCTGAGCCCTCAACATGTCCCAAGCTGAATGTTTCATTTTCTCTTCTGACCTGGTCATGCTTCTATAAACTTGTATCAAAGAATTAGTGGTCCCGCTATCCATCTAGTTTCCCAGTCCAGAAACCCAAGTCATCCCCAACTACTTCTTCTCACCCCCCAACACGTTATCAGTCACCAATTCTGACAGATTCTCGAACTCTTAAATCCATTTGCTCCTTGTCTTCAAGTATGTCTGCTTAAGTTGTTACAATAAACTCTTAACTAACCTCCCATTCTCTATGTAATCCATTTTGCACACAACTGCAAGAATACAAATTGTATATGTGGTTCAATTTTGAGTATGTGAAATTCTCATAGTAATTGTCTAACATGGTAGATTTTATTCATAATGTTCTTTGTATTTTCCAAATGTTCCACCATAATCATGTCGTTCTTAATATATAGAAGTAAAAAGAAGACTATTTTATAATGTGAAAGCAAAGATAAATGATGTCATACCATGTATCAGTGGCATATCTAGAAGATAACATTCCTGTGTACACTGAGGCCTTGGAAACACCTCGGGTCCCGGGGAGTTGGTATAAAGGCAGATCTTCCTGATCCCTTCTTTGAGCCACAGCAGGAAGTTCAACGAGCAAGCCAGGACCCTGGACATCCTTCGGAGTCACCACGCCTAAAGACGAAGCCCAGATGACAGTGAACACAAGGTGCTCTCGTGCACCCTTCATCCCCCCAACAAACAGCTACGGGCACCCACTACGGGCAGGCCCCTTCCAGGCAGCAGCCTGATTTATATTTAACCAACAAGTGAAATATTTAATATGTCCGAGGGTGACAAGTACTATGGTGAAAAATGAAGCAAGGAAGGGGGATAGGGACTGCTCAGTAGAAGAGAGTTACAATTTTAAGTATGGCCTCACTGAAAAGATGACATTTTGGCAACACGAATATTTATTGAAAGAATCCCCTTTATTGAAAGAATTAGATGGTATTCTAATCTTACTACAGATTTTCCTTTATCAACCTAAACTGTCGTAATTACAGCACTCCAACATTTCACTGATTTAAAAAAATAATTCTACAGATTAACAAATAACCAAATAAAAACACTTACCTCTTTAAAGGAGCTTTGTTTATAAATTTTAGAATTCTCTGACATTTGTTATCTCATTTAATTCTGACATCAAGCTATGAATCGGAGAGAAAAGATACTAGCAACCGTATTTTATAGATGAGGAAATGCAGGCTAAGGAGTTTTGCCAATTAGAACGTGCAAATTTACCTGACATGCCACGTGTGTCCTTTCCCCATGTACTGAAAAAAGAACAACCAGGGCAGAGCCGTGCACAGGGTCCTGCGGCACACGCTCAGGGACGGCACCCGCTCGGGCAGACCGCAGCCCGTTGACCCCTCTGAGACACACCCCAGTATCCATTACATCCAATCCATTTAAATCCCCAGCCAATCTTCCCTCATCATGTTATACAAATATGATGAATTGTGCATCAAATGCCTGCCTTAAATCCACGCATTTATAGTATATTTTGGGGATGTGGCTTATCAGAAAATCAGAAATGATCTCTGACTAAGAGATACAGATCCTCTTCTAAAACTTTTCCTATAAGCATCACCTAACTCTCCATTTCTTCACATTGAAGAGACTTCCTAGTAAACTCACCACTACTTCTGCCCTTATCTTGTCTAGGGACTTTGGAATCAGAACCTAATCAGCTGGCAACGCAGCAGAGCGTCTGGAGTGAAAATCACGGTGATGCTCAGGTGGCCTCACAGTCAGTCTCACCAGCCTTCCTGTCCCAGAGGCCCTTCCCTGCCACCCGCCGGGCCCTCGTTCCTGCAAAGCCATCGAATCCGTGCCCCTGCCCCCCGCTCGAGCTTTGCCGGTCTGCCTCCTCCCACTGAGGAGGGGCGAGGCTGGGATCAGATCCGGCAGGCACGGCCTGAAACCAGCAAGAACAGGGAACTGGCTGTCCCTGCAGAGCTGCTTCCCTCCGGCGTTGCTGGCAGCAGAAGCTGGCACGTGACAGCGCTGGGTCACAGGCTGCTGTGGTTAGTCTACACCGTGCCACCACCTGCTCCCACAGGGCTGCCCGGAGCCTCGGCCCCTCCTCCTCCTGGACCCCCCGAGGTGCTCAGGCACCATTTCCCGTCTCTCCAGAGCCTGACACCTCTCCAGCTGCTTGCCAAGGGCACCACCGCACCCAGGAGCCCAGGTGACAAACCCGGGCCTCGAAGGCCGTGCGGTGTGGGGTATCAGCCATAACAGGGGCAGAAGGCTAGAAGAGCAGGGATGTTAGAGAAACGTTCCTGGATAAACGGAAGTCAGCGCTCACAGGAGAGGAAGGGGGAACTTTCGAAAGGGTTATTCTTGGTGAAGGGCAGGAACAGAAGAGTAAATGAGATAAAGGCAAGAAGCACAGGGGCAGAGAGGAGAGCGGGTTCCTACACGTTCAGCAACTGAAAAAAAGACAGTAGGGAACTGATGCGCTGTTGGATGACCACTGTGAGCGCCCTGTCACTTTCCCACTCAAACAACACTTCATGGGCACCTACTACAGCAACATCAGCAGGTACGAGCCTTGCCTTCCAGAAGCTCAGTTTATGGTCAATGACAGGCGTGCAAATGAGCGTGTGTGCCTGAGTGGGTGCAATGACAGCAATGCACCGGGGTCAGAAGGCACATTCTGGCAGGGGCAGGCAAAGACTGGGGACAGAACCACTTTCTGTCTGGAATCTTCTGAACTCTTGTAACACAAGATGTATCACTGATCTGGAATTTATCTTGTATGCTGTGGTCATGAATGCTTTTCTAGTGAGGACAAATCTGAGGGATACAAGTGTAGCTTAATTCCCAAAGCTATAACTTCTAAAAATAAATTCCCAGGGCCTTGAAAAATATCAGATTAAGGTAGACACGGTAGAATGGTGGCCCCCTAAAAGATATATTCACGCCACAGAACCTATGAATGTGACTCTATTTGGAAAAAAGGTCTTTGCCAAGGTAACTAAATCAAGTGTCTTGAGATGAGACCATCCTGGAATCCCCAAGCGGGCCCTACATCAGTGACAGGTGTCCTTATAAGAGACAGAGGAGAAGACACGGACAGGGAGAAGAGGAGGCCCCGGGAAGACAGAGGCAGAGACTGGAGTGATGCAGCCACAAGCCACAGAACGCTGTAGCCACCAGGAGCTGGGAAAGGCCAAGAACAGCTTCTCCCTGGAGCCTTCAGGGAGCACAGCACGTTAACTCAGGGCTCCGGGCCTCCAGGGCAGCAAGAGAATTAGTTTCTGTTATTTTCAGCCACCAAGTTCGCAGCAATTTGCCACAGCAGCCACAGGAAACTCACTCAGGCAGCAGAAGGCAGAGGGAACAGCTGGAGTCACTCAGACGACACAGTGAGCAGGGCTCAGAGGGCACCGGATCATCCCATGAGAAGATCCCCTTTTCCACCTTCTCCCCAGCTCCACTGCCCATCCCCACACCCCACACGTCTTGTCTGCTCCAGAGAGTGGTCCGCATCGAGGGGCAGTGTTGCCCCCAGGGCACACGTGGCCATGTCTGGAGACGTTCTGACTTGGACCATGACTGGGAGTGGGGTTATGGCATCTAGGGTTGGGGGCAGGGCAGCTGCTAACTGTTCTACCCTGCACAGGCCAGCCCTCCACAGCAAAGAATGATCTGGTCCAAAACAGAGCTGACATTGCTATAAAGCATCCACGGTAATCAAACAGGTATGGGCCATTAACTCACTTATTCATTCATTTTTGCCGAAAATCTTCTCCAAGTATTCAGTAGTCAGAGGACTATAGAAACGCAGTGGATTAAAAAACCGTATACTGGGTGAGTTTTGGTGAAAAAAAATCCCATTTTTCTCCTAGTCACAATCAGTTATACAGCATGAAAAATTGGATAGACTCACCTAATCTTAGATATTCAAAATTAACTACCCTAAATAAAAATTTTAAAAAACTTAACTATCCATGCTGTTTCCACCTGCAGAATTGACAATTGTTATCATCTCTTAGGTGCCTTCCATCTTTAACCATTAAGGATTCCATTCTTTAGATTTTACTTAACAGAATGCTGAATTCATATAAAACTTACATAACTTTCCATAGCTCTCTCTCCCCGTATAACATATTACCATATACCACGAGACATGCCCACAGAGAAAGACTTTTCCTCTAGGTACAGTCATAACAGATGAAGGACAGCATAAATCCCAGACAGCGGCTCCATTAATCCCAGGCTATGAAAGAATTAACAGCCTCACCCAGGGATCTGAATGTTATAATGACATTCGATATTTCGGTGTTGGATGAAGGAAAATTATTTTTTAACATCAACTTTTCAAAAATATATAAGAATCAATATTGGGGGGAGGCAGAGAGAAGCACTATACTTTTAGAATTCTTTAATGGAAACTGAGTTATTAATGTATCAAAATTGAGCATAATGTATGGCTATAAAAATGCTTCATAAATGTTTAAAATATGCCTATCTTTATTAATATTTAACAACCCCATTCAATGAGCTAACAGTATCACTTAATAGCATCAGACATTTTAACATATATTAGTAGAGACTTATTTCAGACTCAGCGTAAAGTACTGGTCTTAGTTTTAATCCATACTGCTAATAAAATCAAAACGAGGCAGAGCAAATGCAGCTCTCCCAGAAATCAGAATCTGAAAGTTCTAGGTTGAAATATGAGCCACATTATTCTTCCAGATATTTTTAAGCAGATTAATTAATTAGCAGATTTAAATTCAAAACAACATAATGAACGAAAATGTGACAGTAAAACTCATCATAAACAAAAATAAAACTGAAAGATCGCAAAATAATGTAACATATTTATGAGAAACAAAAACCACAAACCTAAATCCAGACTGCTTTTTGTTAATGAATTAAGATTTTCCAGACCATCAAATCTGCCTTGTTGACTGCTCCCTTCAGTTGAGGGCATGGAGGGTAGGGAATCGATGCCAAAATTTTCTTTCATCTTGAGAGGAAGAAAAACAGGAATGCATTAGTACTTTATGATAAAATGGGGAACACGATAATGTTGTTCAAACCAGATAATAAAAATAGTGGAAACTGCCCTGCCACGGGCCTCCTCAGTCACAGTCTATACTGTGGGGGTAGTAACTTAATATCTGCTGGAATACAGGCTGGTAAAACCTGTTTTTTCCAAATACTGGATTTTTTAAAGCAAAAAACCTGTTTTATAAACATTAATGGGCGGATTTAAATAAACATTCACCAAAGTAGAGGAATAAAAGATCTACCGAGCCAAGCAAGGTCAACGGTTGGTACCCACTGCCTCCTGGATCATGCTGGATCACAGCTCAAATAGCTTCACTGCTGTGTGGATTTTCACAGATTTACCTTGCTGCACCTTCCCTAGAGCTCTGATCTGCAGTGAACAGCCAGTTACCCAAAGTAAAACCTGCAGATAAGCAGTCAGTAACTTACTGCACTTCCCTTGTCTTCTGTTTATACACGTCTTTTATGGTTTTCCAAAGTTAAATCTTCTAGAATGTACCATTTTCACAGAAGTATTTTATTATGATATTTAAAAAAATTTTATAAGCATAAAATTAAATGATGGCATGATGGCCACCACAGGGATGTACCTTAATTCATTTAGCACAACATATTCATTTAGAATAACTGTGTTATTCTCCATTGTTGGAAATTCAGGTTATTCAAAACAAAAATGTGAATTATATCTTTTACAACGGTCCATGTTTTTTCACTAAGTTATACTGGTCAAACTTCAATGGTAAGAGAAGGACCTCTCATAACCTGATGTACCAAATACTGCTAGATTTTTCCAAACAGATTACGAATATAGCCAAGTATATAACTATATCAGATACCTAATAGAGGCCCATCCTGATCCTGTGGGTGTAATTGTTACAGGGGATCAGAACATTCTACCCAGAAACATGTCACTTTGACACAAGGATTATTTTGAGACGAAGACAACCGAGAAAGAGCAGACTCAGGGAAGCTCTCTATCCTCCCGATTCTCAATCACAGAGACGACTCTAGACGCTCCTTGGCTCAGAGATGGCCCTAAGAGGAATGTACAACAAACCTTACTCAAACAACCCTTATCCTCCACCAACTTCCCCCAGATGTTTCCTTCCCACAGTTTCTTGACCCAGAAGCCTAAACCCCTTTTCCTTCGTCTCGTCACTTCTCTACAAATTTATTGTTCTTTGTTGAGATGCTCTATAAGCCTGAGTTCTAACCACCCCTCAGAGTCACTCATCACTGAGTTTCCCCTGTATGCGCACTGCAGGTGTTAATAGATTGTTTTCCTTTTGTTAATCTGTCTTTTGTCAGTTTAATTTCCAGGGCTTGGCCAGAGCACCTAGGAGGATGGAGGAAAAGATTCCTTTCTCCCCTACACTGTCATCACTGTGGGGTGTGGGAAGGGAGGAAGAGTTGATGCCCAAAGCAAGAACATATAATTCTTTACAGGAAATAACATACTGGGTAGGCAAGACACATTAGGGTTGAAGAAATCGTAATCAGTGCCAGTTTAGGGAACCCACAGAGTCCACCTCACAGAAGCAGAAAGCTGGGAAATTCAACACCGAGTTCCTAAGGAGGACGCATGTCCTTCACTGTGAGCACTGGACGCTGTTATAAACAAGCTTTCTAAAGAACATGTTAACAAACAATAGAGTAAGTGGTTACAACTTGTAAGAGGAACTTTTTAAGAATCTAATACTATGCAAATGAGTACCTAAGATAGGATGACATTTTGACTGACAGTATGGATTTAAAACTTACTGTCTCTCAAACAACCTAGATGGAAATGAAGACAGTACGCGGGAAACTGTGTTAAATGCTCAAAAAGTGACTCTAGTGATAATGTAGATACTGACATTATAAACACGCATTGAAAGAATCTGAATAAAATGATATCATTAAATGTGAGAAGAGGCAAAAAATGAACATTTGACAGGTTTTAAGATATGAAATGTTCAACTAAGTTTATAAAGTAAATATTGTGAATATACATTTGACTATTTCATCTATATCCTAGAAGTTTCTATATTAAAATGGGCCTATATTTCAGGTTGCCTTATATTTGAGTAAATAGAAAATTTTCTTTTTATAGAAGAAAACAGCCACAACAAGGGAGCATTTATGAACATTCACTAATCTGTGAATAGAATTTGCTCCATATAACTAAATATTCTGTTTGTGGTCAAGCACTTCCAGATACAGGAGTGGGACTGGCTAAGACAGAAAGCACCAATGCCCATGGCAGCACACAGGCGCTTCTGTGTCACCTCTTCCCACACCCAGGCATTATTCACACAATCCCCAAACATCGGTTCTCCGGTAGACTTCCCAGAGTCCTCCATCATGGGAACCCTCTGGGGTTCCACCAATACAGCTAGTACAGAGCCCAGCAGAGCAGAGGGACCTGCACGCATCTGCAGAAGCGAAAAGGGAGCAAAGGTCTAAGGGAAGCAAAGGAAACCCAGCCCCAGCCGCCCTGAGGGAGAGAGGAGGAGGGCGGACGTGGCACACCACTGCACGAGTTGACCCCCAGCGAGGGGAGCCCACGCCGTGCCTGCATGAACTGCCGTATACCCCCAGAAAGTACGCTTCTTTTCATTTGCCTGGAAGTTAATTTGGGGCAGGAACTAAACAAACAAAAATAAAACATTAGAAACATCCCTAATGAAAGATTCCGATTGGTGGCCAGTTAATTCTAACTTTATAAAAAATAAACTTTATTGCTGATTTAACAGCAAGGGCAAACCTATTAAAATATAATGCTTTCCTGCCAAGTTGTCAATAGGCAATATCACCAATGCGAGGATAATTTTCTAGAGTTCACTGACTTTCTATTTAGTATCACATATAATTCAGAGAACAGTCTGGATAAGCAAGACATAAACAACAAAATACCTTCAATCAATTTTACCCTGATTTTCCCTGACAAATAGACTACGTGGGAAATACACAGCTGTGTCTCCCTGAGGGAATAAAAAAATCACCAACGCCTAAAGACCTCTTTCCTGAAATGGTTCGTGAGGAGGAAAACATCGCTAATATCTCAAGGCAGCTGCAGCCCACCGACCCCGCCAGGAGCCACGTAACACAGAGAAGACGAGCTCTCATGACAGCAGTTCCCGTGTACTGGGTCTTGGGAAAATGATTAACTATGAAAAGATCCATTACATTTGGTTTGTTTTTTGATGGATGACTTAGGGACAAGGGACAGCAAGGGGAGGAGACAGGAGGACGTGGAGGATGTGTCCCTGTCCCTTACCAGGTCTTCGGTGCCACAGCCACACTGCTGCGCCTCCTGGGAGTACATGCTCATCGCAGACCTTGCTTCTCGAGGCTCAGGAGGCTCACCATCAAGTAACCACTGCGCACCGAAGTGAAGCTCCTCCACCGCCGGAACCGGAGCGGCCTCCTGGACGTGCGGCGAGGAATACGACTGCACGGACTGACGGCCAGCCTGATACAGCTCGTACTGGTCATCTACAAGCATTTCCCTCTCCTCACCCATTTCCTGCAGTCCAGGAGTCAGAAATTCCTGCATTTCCCAGGCCTCCTTGCTGTTGTCGATCTCTTTCTGTTGGGACTGGAAAGACTTTCCCAAATCTAGAAATGGTTCGTCCACAAGTTCTTCTTTAAAATAGGGCTCATCTCTAAATCCCTGTAAATAAAAGTTGCAAAAAATTTTCAGCTACACCTGTTTTAAAGCTGCACTCTGCACGTTAACTGGAAAATGAACCGCTGGCATAACTATCCTCCATGCCAGTGCATGGTTCACAGGAACAGCTCTCCACTGCAAACAGGAGAAACGCAAGCTCACCACCACACAGCCCTCAGCCCAGGAAGGGGAGAAACAATAAAGTAAGAGGCAGAAATCTGCCCTGGGCAAGGTGAGTGGCTGTTCTAGAAGGTTCATTATACATTAACCACCTGAAAATTCTCAGTCAGAAACAAGGATTTTGTTAAACTGCTACACTGAATACTTAACTCATGCATCTTATAGAAAAAGCAGTAAGTACATCAATACAGATACACTTCATACTATTACTTAACGCAAAGACTTAAAAGGTCAGGATTTTCAAGCTTACGTAACAAAAGAAATCATGGCTATTCAAATGTTCAAAAAACATTCTCTATAAACTAAAGACATGGGGGTTATGTCTCCACTACTTTGAGTACGACTCTTTTCTAATATATCATATAATACAAAGAGATTTTTTCATCTGCCTTGAAAATATATGACAAAAAGGTATGAACACAGGAGGCTTTTAAATTAATTTATATTTCACTAATCAGAAGAGCAAGTACATACAACTGAAGCTAAACAGTCATCCACGTGCAAACACTCCACTGAGTTCCCAGGTAAGGCCTGGGGAACGTGTGGACCTGCTGAGAGGCACCTCGGGGTGCTGCAGGGCACAGGGAGGCCCAATGCCTTCTAAGGGATCGACGACATCGCCTATTTTAAGTCCTACTCATGAAGTATCACCAGGTGCAAATTCCTGAAAGGCACCTACTCCTTCCATTGCTTCCTCACTTGCAGCTAAACGTCACTGTGGCGAAGCTTTTAAATTAATACAATACACGAAATACTGCACCTAGTTACTTAAAAAAAAAAAAAGTTGCGTTGAGAGGATATATTTGAACACATCACATGGTTATGAAATTTTAACAAAAAATGTCTACACTAAAAAAATATAATGGACATTACAGGACTACATATCAGCTTGAGACACTGTCAACAAATCATATACAGAATATCAGAAGACAGTTGTTATCAAGTAAAGCAAAACCCCACTCCAACTGCAAAGAGCAAAATAAGCACAATTCATTTTAAGAATAAAAAAGGAAAAGCTTCAAAATAGACTTTCTAAAATTAAAGCATAAAGTAGGGTTTGACTAAATAACTCTTATCTAGACGGCATTCAGTAAGAAGTTCTCTTGTGTAGCTCTGTTTTCTGAAGCATTTTAAATTCAGGTCTATTTTCAAAAAGATTGTCTACCCTCAAAATTTTAAGAATATTTTAGTGATGTAAAATAGGCTATGTTTGTTCTTTGAAAATGCCTCACATCTGGCCTATACCATTTACGCAAGCAATGTGATACAAGAGGGAAAAGATTTCAGTTTAAAAAAAATAAAAAAGAGAGAGGGGGGATTATTTACTTTGTATCTATTTAGCCAAGACAGTGGGGACAAGATTTTATCCTCTTTATGGAAACTTCAGCTCACAGCAAACATTCCAATGGGTAATAAATTTACTAAATACCTTGGGTGCTTCAAGTATTAAAGATGAATTTATATCATGAATTGTTCCTGAAATATCAGTCTCGTCTTCATGATTGTTTGACTGTAAAATATAATGACTTTCTTCCTCTTTATCATCTTCCTGAAAACAAAAGCAGTTATTTTTTATTTTTTTAGGATGACTGAGGAAATGTCGTCAACCACGAAGATATTTTTTATTGAGATATAATTAACATATAACATTATATTAGTTTTAGGTGTATAACATAATGATTTGATATATGTATATACTACAAAATGATCACCATAATTAGTTAACATCTGCAACTTTCAAATATACAATACAGCAGTGTTAACTACGGTCGCCATGCTGTACATACATCCCAGGGCTTATTTATCTTAGAGCTGGAAGTTTGTACCTTTTGCCCACCCCCGACCCCCACCTATGGCAACCACAGGAGCACTTTTATAAAGAAAATACCTAGTTTCAAAATCTCTTCAGATTAATTTTCATCTTTTCATTAAATGCAAGTACACAAGAAAATTTATGCAAGTTGTTTTATTAGAACAAACTTTTCTCTCATAATTAAAAAGAAAGTCATATTCAGGTCAAAGCTTCTCAAACTGTTTCTTCTTTATAGGTATTCTCTAAAGGAAAAAATCACTTCCTCAGGAACAGACCTTGATATTAAGAAATGTATAAATACTTACAGGGTGATATTCAACATATTTAACAAAGGTGCTGTGCAGTCACTCTCCACCGGAAAAGGGACAGCCACCCTGGTGCTTACCAGCTCAGTGCCGCCCCAGGGAGTGACACAGCCGCTCCTTACCGAGTCCTGGCTACATGTCACCATCTACAGGAAACACCCGTGTATGCTTCGTCTCAGCTTAATCTTTACCACAATCCTATAAGGTCAGGATTTTATATCGGATATTCACATAAAATAACAGCAAACACACACATCTCTCTCTCTCTCTCACAGGCTCAGCACTTTAGACACATCAACTCATTTAACACATTAATATATACTCTAAGAAGCAGGTGCTCTGATTAACCCCATTTTACAGATGAGTAAATGAGGCAGAGGAATTTGCCTGAAATTACATAACTAGCCAGTTACAGAACACTGGCTTCCGGGCTCTGCAGCCCGTGGTCTCAACCTCCAGGCCACGCAACCCCGTCTCACAATGAGGAGGTGGGAGCCGGTGAGGTTATATAACTGGCCCAGGGACACGGCCTCGCACATCACAGAACTAAGCAAAAGCCCACAGCGGTCTGGCTCAAGAACTCCACTGCCACCTCTGTCTTGTCACTTCTGAAGATACAATGCAGTTTTTAAAGTCAGTTCACTCATTTTTTGGATCTGGTACATCTGAGGTGAGTTTGTAGAAAAGAGAAGGTAAGTCACATTTGTGATTAATGTGAAAATATATAGATAATATGTATCTCTATATTATATAATATATATCTGTATCTCAAAATTATATAATATCTATAAATATATAGACAATACATATCTATATGATACAAGACTTAATAAAAAATGATTTTGTTCTCGTAACTGTGGTATATTCATAGTCTTTCTGCCCCAGCCTGACTGTGGACCTTCTTATTCACACTTGATCCCCTTATGCTGAGGACTGAGCCAATGCTCAGTAAACAACTGGCTCAGTAAACACGAGGTGATAAGTGGCCACCAGGTGGCCCATGAGAGAGAGACAGAGACCTCAGAGAAGATCCACGCATCACTCTCACAGCTCCCAAGCAGACAGATCTGCTACAAGAACCCAGAGGTTAAAGAAGGAATTATAATTTTTTAACGTCTTGAAAGTGACCTTTCTCTCAACCCTTTACTGGCTCCCACTCCCAAGGATCCCTGAGCCTTCTTGTCCCCTAGGGAAGCCCAGCAAAGGTCCACCTCACAATCGCTACCTTCCAAAACCCTCAGATGAGGCTCAAGGCCCGAGGTTTCTGCCGTCCACCTCTGTAGAAACAGCTCAGGACTCCACACCTGGCTGGCTCTAAGTTCCATTTTTTACACTGAGTCTTCCTTAACTGCTTCAAAGTCAAGTCTTGCTGTTTAAGTCCTATAGGCCATAAATAGCTTGGGATTTTCTCTGGCAGCCCACATAATCAGGCGAATAATCATCAGGGAAAATCTAGACAAAGTTCCTGCCACAATCCCTAACACCAAGGAGAGGAGAGCCCCACAAAAAGATCAAGTTTCCCCTCCTTAATTTGTCCAGAAATCAAACTGGCATCTCATGGTATATATTGGCTATGGCAACACCAGCACACCAAATACACAATGTAAAGTCAAAAACCTGACTTAGTTAGGTACTATAACCCATTCTGAAACGGTTAAAGTGTCTGACACGTATAATACACAGGCATCTTTATGTGCACTACATGAAGAATGAAAAGGGCATAGATGAAGGGCATGTTGAGGTTCCCCAGTGCAAAAATGCAACGTGTAATACATGAATCTATCTATGTCTATACCTACATACCTACAAATGAACATATCTATCTATATGAACACTTGTAGTATGTTAATAAATTCCATACAATAAAAGAATTTTAGAGTTAAGATCTTAGGAGTCCTCTAATCTTGTCCAGTCTTTCCAGAAATGAAAAAATAGGCTCAGAGAAGAAAAGTGGTATATCTATGATCAAATTACTAGTATACTGTTTCTCAAAGTGCAAAATTCTGCATCAGAATTACACAGGTGATTCACTGAAGAGGCAGGCTCTTGAACAGCACATCAGAATTACTAAACCAGAACCCCTGCGGGTAGGACCTGGGAAACTGCATTTTAACCATCTCCCAGTGATTCGATCACTTATCTCTGATTTTGAAACCCCCTGGGCGAACTCGCAGCAAAGTTAGAAACGGGGCCCAGATATCCTAACTCCAGCCCAACACTCTACCACGGCCACGCTCCCTGTTTCAGACACACTGCACGCAAACGAAACCAGCGACAACAGACCACAGCAGGAATATACACCAGGCGGCCAAGAGCACAGGGTCAAAGCCACCCTGCTGAGTTTACACTCCAACTCTGCCCCTTATCCACCTCGGATAAGTTCTCAACTCCCTGTGTCTTGACTGACTCATCTGTAAGGGGGTAAGAAGAGGAATAAAGCTGCGTGAGGATTAAACTAGTCGATACACGTAAAGGGCTTAAAATAGTGACTGACGTAGAGTAAGCACCCAATAGTACTTTAATGCTGCTTGAAAATTATCGTCAAGTATTTTTCTGCACCAGGGAACCTCGAAAGCACCGTAACTGTAACGTGGTCTTGGGTCCTAACAGTAATCTGACTCAGTACATGAGATTAAGCAGTAAGACGACTTTAAGATGGCTTGACCAGATAGGAGTCTAGATGCTGGGGTTACAAGGCACCTTGACGGTCAGAAAAGCTTATTAAAATCTCATAGCCATATGGTTAAAATGGTATGGTGAGCTGGATTTCAACTGATCATGCCACCTCGACATCATTCCCACAAGAAGGTTAAAACGCATAAATAGACATTTTAATTTACATCATAAGGAATGTGATGAGAACTTAGAAGTCTGTACCAAAAGCACGAAGATAAAATTAGCAGTGTGAGTGGTGGCAGCAGGACTAGGAAGGTTGGCAGCCAGCATTTATGTAATAACGTGTAAGCACCGAATGAACATCAGCTTTACTCCCCAAGGCCCTGTGAGTAGACATTATTTTTTCTGATTCTGTAAGTCAAGGACACTAAGAAACTTGCACAAGGATACATATAGTGAGCAGTGGAACAGGGATACGAGGCCGGGTGTATCTGTCTTCAAAATCCATGATCTTAACTCCTACACTATTGTCACTCTCTACATTAACAAAATTCAACGCTTACCACCAAAGGCTTACAGATGCCAAGGCGCACCGTGCCTGGCGGCACAGCTTTCAACACCTCCACGGCTTCAGCAAGGGTGCTGTTGTCCAAACTGTGTTCGTTGACCGAGACCAGGCGGTCTCCAGGCAGTAGTTCCCCACCTCTGTCTGCGACGCCGTCCACCACCAGGGAGCGGATCACAATCACTGATCTCGTGGGATCCAAGGGGTCCTGGGGATCAAGCCAAGAAGAGACGAGTCAGTTCCCTGAAAACAAATACAGCCTTCAGACAGTGTGTGTCTACTCTTGAATCTCATCTGACTATCTACTTTGTGTGTCCAGCATTCTGGTGACAGAGGACAAAACCTATTAAAATATCACTCTACGTATCCACACAAATACCAGCTAGTATCAAGGTGAAGACACAACCCGAACAACTTCAACTGCATGCCTGAGTGCTCGATACACATAAATTTCTATTTTAAACTTTGGCGACTGATATTTTGTTGGACCACAAGAGGTCCAGGGACAGTTAGGAAAGATTCTCTGACATCCTCAAGCACAGTCACACTACGGACCCAAGAGAGGCCCATCTATTACTGCTCGTGGGCCATCAGTGGGCTCCAGGAGAAGGGTACCGTGGGAAATGACACTCCCTCCTGAGGCATCCCACCAGCAGAGCATCCTCCTGCTCAGTCACTTAAGTTCAAAACATGGAATACTCCACTCCACTAAAAAGTATGTTTAAAAATAACCTAACCTAAAACTATGACAAGGTATAGGTGCCCCATGATGAGAACCATTCCAATACATAGAAAATGAGTGTCAATTGATGAACAAAACCAACATGCAAATACCTCTCATCTGCTGAGAGGGCCCCACATTTCTTTTCATTAAACACTGAAGATAACCAAATCTATTTCTTGAATGTCAACCTTAACAAAAATCAATTTCCAACCCCACTATTATTATTTATTTTATTCAACAAACACTGATATATAGCACTTACTGCATGTCAGGCTCTGTTCTAAGTGCTTGACAATCATTAATTCATCTAATCCTTACAGCTCCAGGATGTGAGTAGATTTATGGTTTGTATTTTTACAGATGAGGAAACTGAGCCTCAGAAACTTAAGGAAACTTGCCAAGATCACCCACAGAACCAGGATTCACACCCAACCAGTCTGACCCCTAAGTCCTTACTCCAGACCACCGCGCTCTGGCACTCGCTCCACCAAAATAACAGTCGGAAGAAACTGGAAACAAAGAGTTGTGACATACTCACTTGGAAATCTTATGTTTGAGTAGAATATCTTAATTGTCCTAATGGCGGAGCTATATGGTACTATTACTAAACCTCAAACTTAGTAGGGGAGAGAAGAAAGTAATTCAATCCAAATCATAACGTTTCCTTTGGTTTGCCTATTTTGCTCCTGTGGTTTCATGATGCACACACTGTTCCATAAGGGCAAGACGGAGTAACACGAGATCCTACTACCGTTAGTTTCTATTAAACCCTTCCTGAGAAAGTGCAGACAAACTGCCCCATTTTGTGTTGGACTTCTGTGACTTTGGAATCAGCAAAGTGAGAATTTGCTGAGTTCCAGGCTTTGTTGGTTTGAAGTGGCTGATGGGTCTTTTGAGGTTTTCTGATCTGGTTTCGTACACCTTCATGTTTCAGACATCAAGGTGCATTTTCAAGTACTGCATGGAATTTTAACCAAATACATCATATTTAAGTCAACAAAGTCTACCCAGCTAATTCCTTAAAAAATGCCTTCAAACATAACTCCTCTTACTTTCCTTAACCATGCCTGCCTTTCCGGCTCCCAGGGCGAGAGATTCTGGTAAATTTCTAACACCCTCTGATGCGTAACACCACATATTCATGAAGAGGACTGAAAGTAAAAGTAGTCATGGGTGTTCCTTAATAACGTACACATTGTTAAACTATCATTACACCAATATTTTCAAGTAGAGGGAGCTATTGCACAGGAAGAGAACAGAAAAGAACCAAAACGCGCAGTGGGCCATCAGCAGGCACTTGGAGCAGCAATATAAAGGAGCTGTCTATTTTGTCACCGGCAGCCATGAATCACAACACACTTTCCATTCTGAAATATGAAACCATTACGTTTTAAGTTTGACACACTAATAAATAAGCTGTACAATTACGTCCTTCATTTGGGATGTCAGTTTTTGATGAAAGGCTTTTTTATTGGGGGGGGGGAGGGAAACTACATAATAGCTTATTCCCCTCATGAAATGCACAGAGAGCAGCTAGCATTACTTCACATTAATAATTACTTGACTTTCTTAGAGAAAACTGCAACAGTAAAATATACCAAAAGCAAATAAATGATTTCACCAGGATGGTGAGAGCAATCTCTGCAGTTTCGTATAATGCCGAATCAAAAAGTACTATTTTTAACGTAAATAGGTGAATAGGTTTTCAAAATACAACCAGTTGAAATGACAATTAGAAACATTTCAAAGGAAGAGTCACCAGGAAATAACAGAACCAGAAAGGTGAATAGATTTCCCTCACTCTAGAAGAGTCATGGGGGCACATTCACACACAGCACAGTCTTCCTTAGACCTGGAACTCGCGCCAGGCGTGCCGGCTCACGAAGGTACTCAGGCTCAGACCTCCAGATATTCTCTATGCTAAGTCGAATCTCCACCCCTTCTCCTGGAGGAGAGAGCCCCACGGCAGCTTCTTTGTCCCTTAAAAAAAGACGAACAGCTCCCTTCTGAAGATGCCCCATCGGGGATAATCACAGCCCTGTCTTTTAGGATGACTTCTGACTCTGGTTTCCCATGGGCCTGAATGAAGCTGTGCTGATGAGCAACAGTCGTTTCCTGTCATGGCGGCCACACGGAGCAGCCACCCTACGGAAAACAGCAGCTGCCACTGCCCATAGGGGCGGCCACTGTTCTTGAGGCTTTGCTGCATAAAGAATGCTTAAGAACCAGCCTGATTCAGCCTGGTTCTCATCAGGAAAGTCTGTTTTCTGAAAATCCAGTCCACAATATCATACCGATGTTATATCAAACAAAACCTTATAAAGATATTTCTCAAGACCCCACCCAACTCCTAGACCTCATGCCAATTTTTAAAGTTCCTATCAGTTTTTATCATCTTCATCATAATTTTTAAAATCTCTAATTTTTCTTGTTTCGGTAAATAACACTGCAAGGAACATTGTATTCAAGAATCAAGATTTTGTTTTAGACCCAACAGCCAACAGAGGGCACTGAAGACCAACCACAGCACCAGAAACAGCATATTCTCCTGTGTAAGCCCTTCTCCTCTTCTGCAGGACTGTTTTCCTCTCTATTCAGAAGCCTTGTATTACTATATATGTTCTAACAGTATCCCATTCGCTTACTTCAACTCAACCATTTATGAAAGTTGTACCCTATAGTTCTTAAAAATATTATCAAATTCCTACCATCGATTAAAACAGCCAACTTTCCTCAGAATACCATACGAAGACAGATCTGCCCCAAATCCCCCTCAGTACTCAGCTCTGAAATCCCGAGAGGACCCCCTACCCGCTGTCTCACTGCCCCTGCCTGACGGAAAGTGGTGTTGGGACTTCTGAGGTCTCTGGAAGTGATGCTCATGTTTGATGATTATTATAAACATGGGGTGTCTCCACTTGGGGAAACCCCAGGTGACAGACAGACTCCTCTCCCCCCGTGTCCCCAACGGCACTCCACCCCCGCACTCACTCCCCCTACCCCTCCCTGAGTGCTAGTAGGGAGTCTATCTGATCGTCCCTCTTCTACTCGACCCATCCCTCAATCTCTGCTGCCATCGCCTCGGTTCAGCTTCTCATTATTTCTCGTACCCCCAATAGGTCTACCTGTCGCGAATCTTTGCCCTTTTTTTCTACAGAGATAAAATAATGATCTTCAAAAATAAAACTGTGATCACAATTCCTTCAGGATGAAGTCCTGACTGCTTGTGGAGAAATTCCTTCAGATCTGCACTGTCTCAGCTCCTCTCGCCCTCCCCATTTGCCCCACAGCACCCCAAGTACAGAACTGCTGAGATTCAGGGACCGTGAACCACTCTGGCATGCTTCTCAACGCCCTACAAACATCCCATCTGCCAGAGTGCCTGCCCTGCCCCTACCCCTTATCGACATCTTTGCCACCAGGGTCAGCTCACGTGTCTCCTCCGAGCAGCTGTCCCCGACTCCCCGAAGACAACTCAGGCACCTCCTGCTCTGTGACATCCCTAAACCTAAAAAGACCTTCATTACAACTTTGTAATAACATATTGTCCTCGCTGTTTTGAACTCCTAGGATAAGCCAGGTCCCCCTATAGATGTGCCCACAGCACCTGGGCTGTGTTTACGTAATTGCTGCTTTATTTCCAGGGCCTACTATCACGCCTGCCACACAGAAGGGACTGAAGAGCAGCTTACACAGCAAATGCCTGAATCTACTGAGTCTCTCTCCTCACTGGACCCTCAGAACACCAAAGGAGAAGGCCGTATCCCATCATCTGAGAACAACTGCTAACACCACCAAGCTGTTCCACACACACACTGAGAATCTCACTCACGCGAACCTATTTAATCCTCACACCAACATGAGGTAGGTGCCACTATTATCCCCACTTTCCAGATGAGAAAACCAAGGCAGAGGAAAATTAAACAACTAAACCAAAATACACAGCTGATACATGGTGGAACGAGCATTTAAACCAGCCATCAAGTCCCAGAGCTTATGCTCCTGGCCACCAAGTGATGCAGTTTCTCTCTCTCAAGGTGAGTATGAAAGAAGGCAAATAGGCCGGCCCCGTGGCTTAGCAGTTAAGTGCGCGCGCTCCGCTGCTGGTGGCCTGGGTTCGGATCCCGGGCGCGCACAGACGCACTGCTTCTCCGGCCATGCTGAGGCCGCGTCCCACATACAGCAACTAGAAGGATGTGCAGCTATGACATACAACTATCTACTGGGGCTTTGGGGAAAAAAAAAAAGAGGAGGATTGGCAATAGATGTTAGCTCAGAGCCGGTCTTCCTCAGCAAAAAGAGGAGGATTAGCATGGATGTTAGCTCAGGGCTGATCTTCCTCACAAAAAAAGAAAGAAGAAAGAAGGCAAATTGTTGGAAGATATATTCTTACCTTGCCAGAGGGCATAAAACTGAGCCCCTTAAATATCACATTTGGCCACTGGGGGTTTATATTTCAGTACCCAGCTGATGGAAAGGCGGAA